AATTCAGATAGGTCACAGTATCCAATGTCAACACACAAAGTCAATAGTATTTCTATATACTAGGTGTGAACAATCAAAAAATCAAGTTAGGATATCAAATCCACTTGTCATCAGAAAAAAAATAGGAATTTTATGAAATAAGAAAAAATAACACCTATATACTGAAAACTATAGAAAAATAGGGTCAGAGCTGGGTGCTGGTGGCTCACACCTGTTATCCTAGCTACTTAGGAGGCTCAGATCTGCGGATCTTGGATCAAAGCCAGCCTGGGCAGGAAAATCTATGAGACTCTCGTCTCCAATTAACCACTAGAAAACTGGAAGTGAAGCTGTGGCTCAAAGTGGTAGAGTGCTAGCCTTGAGCAAAAAAGCTCAGGGACAGTGTCCAGGCCCTGAATTCAAGCCCCACAACGGACAAAAGAGAAAGAGAAAGAGAGAGCGAGCGAGAGAGAGAGACAGAGACAGAGAAAGAGCAAGCGAGAGAGAGAGAGAGAGAGAGAGAAAGAGAGAGAGAGAAAGAGAAAGAGAGAGAGAGAGTAAGAGAGAGAGAGAGAGAGAGAGCGCCAGTAATTACTACTGCTTAGAAAACAGAACAAAATATTCACTAATGTAAATCAGTTTAACAGCTTCTTGTATTAAACTTGAGACTGATACTTCCATCTTATGGTCATAGTTTTATATACAATTATCTTTTACTTGTCATGATTATATATAACCTAGCTAGCATACAGTATAGACCATTGGTTTAAGAAATCATAATATCAATTTAATAAGGTGATTTCCGGTTAAAAAAGACATAGTTTGAAAACAGATATTCCCCAAGCATTGAGGAAAACAAATAGCTCAAAACCTAAGTTTCCTCTCTTATAATTAAAGATGTGTGAAAATCAACTGTTCCTAAGCTAAATCATAAAATACAGCATTTGAGTTAAAAAAGGGTCACATACCTGGGAACATTATTGTTTGAGTCTTCACTTTCATTTGCCAGGCCACCAAATAAATAGCATTTGTTACCATATAAAGAAAAACTATGTCCAAGTCGAGGACAAGGTGGTAAACCAGAAGGTGGGGGTTGGGGCTTCACTTTTTTCCATAACCAACGACTTGCCTAAAATCAAACACAAATACTCATATAAACTCAGGAAAGCATTCCTAGTTGTACACTGTCAGTAGTATATTACACCAAAACATTTTAATACATCCTATCAGATGGCTCCCATAAACTACTTGGAGAACAAATAGCAAGTAAACAGCTAGCTTTTGGAATTAAAATATATGTTCTAATAGAAATTCAGGCTGGGACTGGGAAGGTGGCTCAGTGGTAGAGTGCTTGCCTTGCAATGCATGAGGCCCTGGGTTCGATTCCTCAGCACCACATAAGCAAAAAGAAAAAAAAAAAAACCGGAAGTGGTGCTGTGGCTCAAGTGGTAGAGCGCTAGCCTTGAGCTGAAGAGCTGAGGGGCAGCGCCCAGGCCCAGAGTTCAGGCCCCACGACCGGACCCAAAAAAAAAAAGAAATTCAGGCTAACCTGGGTTCGATTCCTCAGCACCACATAAGCAAAAAAGAAAAAAGCCGGAAGTGGCACTGTGGCTCAAGTGGTAGAGCGCTAGCCTTGAGCTGAAGAGCTGAGGGACAGTGCCCAGGCCCAGAGTTCAGGCCCCACAACTGGACTCCAAAAAAAAAAAAAAAAGAAAGAAATTCAGGCTAATTTATTTTTATAAGCATATGTTAACTCAAAAAAAAAGGAGAAATGAAATTCCAGGTAATTTATATTCACATTTTCAGAAAGACACATTATGTTTATAACAAATAATAAATACTGAATGTTTTAATAATTTTCTAATAAAAATTATTTACTTTATATGGCTTTAAGATGAGATATAATCTATGTATAGTTACTTTATATTACGTAATCTAGGAATTTAAGTAAAAGCACATTTAACAAACCCAACTCCAAAACTAAATTCTCTACCCATGCATGTTTCCTCATTTGAGACTATTTTTGAAATAGGTTGCTTATAAATAGATATAGCCCACCTACATCTGCCAATGAGCAGGTACCCACAATATTGTGGCTTGGAAACATGCACAGATCACAAAAAGTCAACAAGGGTTAAGTCTGGTTTAATAAGAGAACCAAATTTAGAAAGGTCGTATGAAACTGTAACTTCTCTTTTGAACTATTTCCAGGGGGAGGAAAGTAATTACTACTGTGAAAAGTAGCAATTCTGGTAACACTAAAGCAGTGGTTTTCAAAGTGTTGTCTGGGTAGTAGTAGCAACAGCAGCAGCAGCAGAAGCTGGGAACTTGGTAGAAAAACAAATGCTGACAGCATGACCTAACAATTTGTTTCTAAAGTCTTTCAGGTACTTTGATGCAAGTTAAAGGTGGAGAACTACTGCACCAAAATATAAAAACCCAAATACATAACACAAGTATCTTAAGTTTGGGTTTTTGGGGTTTTGACTAAAGTTTGAACACAGGGTCTCACACCTGCTAAGCTTGTGCTCTACCACTTAGGCCATGCCACCAGTCCTGGATTTTTTTGCTGGTTAAGTGGAGATATAATCTAGAGAATTTTTCTACTTGGGCTGACTTCAAACTGAGATTCTCCAGATTTCAGCTTCCTGGGTAATAGGAGGATTACAGGTGAGAGCCACCAGCACCCAGCAATGTCTAGTATGTTGATGTCACTGAGCATAGAAAAAGATTTATGTTAGGAACTTTAGCTATTCTAAGTGGAAACCTTTACTTTGTAGCTGTATTATGTGAAGCTCTTGAAGTTTTATCTAAGCTAGTTTGGTGATCTTCTGAGGAATTATCAATTTTATTATGAGAATTTTGGACTAAAATGATAAATTTTAAATACACTTACTTGTAACTCATACAACTCATTGCTGTATCTTCCATATTCAACCATGCCCCCAAATACTAATATTCTGGTACCATCACAGACAAATCCATGGGCAGCACAGCCTGGAGGGATGTCTCCTCTAACAGCTGGTAGGAACCACTGATTTGTAACTAGTTGCCAAAATAAAATTAAAATCAATTTCAACAAATAATAGTTATCACAGTCTATCAGTATGTACTTTCTATGCATCCTCTTTATTACAGTTGTTCTGACTGGGGATGATTTTGCCTCTTGGGACACTGATTTTTAGTTATCATTGATTGTCACATAGAGGGTAGCCAGGGCCAGGGATACTGCCAAACATCATTTCTGGTTTTCTCTTTCTTGTCACTGGGAATTGAACTCAAGAGACTCCAGCATGTTAGGCTTGGGCTCCACCATTTAAGCCACACTGACAACCTTTTCTGTTTGTGATGTATTTTTGAAACTGGTGACTTTTTGCAAGCCATCTGCTGGCCTCCACCTAGAGAATAGCTTGGATTGCACATGCTGATTATACAGGCAAACATTTTACGATGCACAGGGTAGCCACTCTGCACTACACCCCTGCCTAGCAAAGAATCATCTGGCCCAAAGTGTCAATAAGTGTTGCTGTTGGAAAACCCATGCGCGGTATCATTTAATTCTTACAAGAAATCCTAACAAGAATCATCTCTATTTTACAAGTGGAAAAAAATCTGAGGTTTTGAAAAGTTTGGTAACTTTAATGCTGATCCAGGGTGACTACCAAAAGCAATGTCAAATTAGATCTAATTTGTTCTAAAGCCAGGGTATTCACATCGTATCAAAGCGAGTAACTGTTTAACTTTATATGCTGGGGTGTTTGGGAAGGGGGGGGTGACAAAAAGTTTTCCCCTACTCCACTGTTTTTGGTGTTCACTTTGTACACGACCATTGTGATTAAGTTGTTTGGCCCAAGAAAAGTGGTTTGTCATGAAAACAGATGTCAGATCCAGCGATTAGCTTGACACCAAGGAAATCGATTTCTCGTGGTGGCTGGAGGATGTAAGAGTTTGGGGGGGGGGGGGGGGGGGGGAGTGAGGTGGAGGGGGGTGGAGAAACAGAAGTTCCAGCTTCAAGAGCAGTGGAACTTAGGATCAGCAGTGTCTCTCAAGCTGTGAGGACCAGTCCGCCAGAGCTCGGCACACACGAAGAGCAGCCGTGCAGAGAGGGGGCTGATGTCACCCGCGAAGCACTTCCCCGCGGGCTCAGAGGGCCACCACGGGGGGGGGGGGGAATCCTGCCCGCTTCTGCCGGATGCCGGGCCGTTGGGGAGCTAAGGACCAGAGGCCTCTCGAGCTCCGTCCTCACCCGCTAGCTTCTCCTCCTGCTGAGCACCGGAGGGAGGCAGGCAAAGACGGCCGAGGCCGGGAGCGATCGTTTGACAGCGGAGGGACCTCGCGCCCATCTTCCCCCCCGCCCCGCGAACGCCTCCCCCGCAAGCGGCGAGCCTGGGCGGAGAGGCCCGGGCGGCGGAAACGGTCTCCCGCCCGGGTCTGCCTGCAGGGCTAGAGCGAGGGGTGCGGGGGGCCGCCCGCCCGGGACGCCGCCTCTCGGCGGTCCGCTCCTCCCCGCGGGCCCGGGGAAACGGCTCGGCGCTCCGGGATGCTGCGAGCCGGCGCCGTGCGGCCCGGCCCCCGCTCTCCGCTGCCCGCTGGGTGGAAGAAGCCGGGACCGGGAGGTGACAGCTGTCAGGGCCGCGGCCGCCGCCTCGCCTGGCCTCCCCTCCCCCTCCGCGGTCCCACAGGCGGGGCCGACGAGGAGCCGCCGCCGCCGCCAGCGCCGCGCCTACCGGTGTTGTAGACGTGCAGCTCGTCCGCGATGCCCTCATTGCCCCCGCCAAAGATGATCATCAGCTCTCGGATAGCCACGGCCCGGTGTCCGTGCCGAGCCCGGGGGACCGGCCCCGTAAAGGAGGAAACTCGCCTCCAGTTAAGGAGGCTGGGAGCCGCCATCTTCCCAACCCCCGCCCCTCTGCCCACAATGCCCTGCGCGCGCTGCAGCGCCCGGGCTCCCCGGGAGGGCGGGCACCGCCTCCAGCGGTGCGCGCGCGGGCACGCCGGCCTGTCACGTGACGACGCACGCCTCGGGGCCTGGCCCTGGGCCTGGGAAAACCTTCCGCCCGCTTACAGCTCCAGGCAACGTGTTCGGGCGTGCCACGGCGAGTGTTTGGATCACCAGACGGTCCCCACCGACCGAGTGCACCCTCCTCGCCCAGAGCCTCCCGTTGGATACTTTGGGGAGAAGGTACTGCACTGTCCTTTACGTCAGACCAGGCGCACCCCCCCCCCCAGGTTCCAACCTGAGGGCGAGGACTAGGTCGCCCCAGAGTGCAGGGGGGAGCTGGACCGCTCAGGAGGTCCAGGCCGCATGTGGGGGTGTCAGAATGAGAAGGTTAGGAACAGTGACCCACAGAAGGTGTGTCAGGGTTGGTTTGGTTTGAGCAGGTTGAGAAGGTTTTGTATACATTTCGTTTCCATGACTAGCAACCCACCAGCCGGCTTGGATAGCCAGGCTCCACTCCCTAAGTTACCATCCATGTGTTTAGCTCATCCTTCAGAACCGTTCGTGGAGGTGGACACTGTTAACTGCCATTCGTGGATGGGGGAGATGAGGCTCAGGGCATAAGTCACTCCGGTACACACACAAAAAAGGGCTGGGGCCAGGATTCAAACCTGGATTTCTGATGTTAGAGCCCACAGCCCTAACCACACACTCTGCCCTCGGAAAACAACTCTTAATAGTCTCACCACTTTTCTTTAAATTTGATCTCACGTTCTCGAATCACAGAGGTACAAGTCCATTAAGTAAATGAGTTATGTGTCTATGGAATGCGTGGTAAATGAGGATTTAAGCTGTTCCTGCCACAAATGTATACACACACACACACACACACACACACACACACACGTTAAGTATGAGATAATGATGTGTTAGTTTCATCGTGATAATTTTTTTACTATCTAATTGTGTCCCATAACATCATGTTATTTACTTTAAAATGCACCGTACAATTTATATTAAGATTTCCAGCTTGGAAAAAAATTAAACATTTTAAATCCCTACTTCAGCTTTCAAGAAGGTACTGAAGAAAACACACAGTGTACAGTAACTCTGCTAATATTCCTTTCATCTCATCTCTTTTATCAGTTTGTTTCTCTCATATGCAGTAGACACATTTCACCACCTCCCTTGAACATAAACCTAAGTTTTCATCCACCAAAGCTTCCTTTGGGTAATAATTTTTCTGCCTTTTCCAAAAAAGATACTTACTGTTCTTTCCAGCTTCTGCTTCTTAGTTTCTCTTGCCATCCCTGCCTGCTTCCCCTTTGCAGTACTGGAGTTGAACCAGGACTTAATAAATACTTGGCACTTTGAGCTAAGCCTTTACATGTCCACTACTCCCTGCCACTCACTAAATTCTTCCTTTTGGTTAGCATTAGCTCAGTTTCATAATATACCTAAAAAAAAAAAATGTAGAAAAACAAGGGTAGGATGTTTAGCCACAGGAAAAGGCCACGAGTATTATGTATTAATATTTTTGCCCTTGTCACATATATAACATAGGCTTTTAAGTGTTTCTGTTATATAAAAAAAATTTTTGTAGATCTGAAACAAACCTGGAAAAGTTGGGATAAATCAGTGAGTTTTTCATAAAACCCAAAGTATTTAAAGATCTTTTTTCTTTATTCTGGGAGACTTCAGTGCTTAGATGATAAGTTTTTCTGTAATAGTCTTGTAGCAAAAGATTAAGGAAAACATTTCAAAGTGGCAAACCTAAAGCTGATCTTTTAATTAAAAAGAATAAAAGAAAAAAAAACACAGCCAGGTATGGTGGCCCTCAACTGTGGTCTTAGCTGCTTGGCAGGTAGGGGTAAGAGAATCAAGGTCCAAAGGAGTCCTGGGCAAAAGAGTGAGACCCTTATCTGAAGCAAACTAAAGATAAAAGGTCAGAAAGCATACCTCAAGTGATAGCATTGTTGCCTAGCAAGTTCAAAAGCCAGTACTACCAAATAAAAAACATATGTTTGAGAACCCACTAAATGTACTGTATAAGTACAGAACGGTCCTTGCTCTGCCTGGCAACAGTACAAAAGAGTAAAGAGCAGACTTCCATGTCATCTACACTTCTTTGTGTTACTACTCGTTCTTTGATTTTCTCTGGTATAAGATAAAATAAAAAACAGATCTCTAATGGTTGAGAACCCCTGAACTAGGGGAACAATGAAGGCAAAATAGTCTCAAGACAAAAGAGCTTGCAAATTCTAGCTAGCTGTTTAGCTAAGGAATAGGCTAGTTTCCTAGGATTGCCAAATCAAAGGACCACAGACCTTGTGTTTTAACACAGTAGAAGCCGGCATAGGTGTTTTGTGCCTGTAATTTTAGCTACTCAGGAGGCTGAGATCTGAGGATTTAGATTCAAGGTCAGCTCAGTCAGACAAATCTGACACACTCTTATCTCCAGTTCTAGGAAAAAGCTGAAAGGGAAGATATGCTGAAGTGATAAGGTCTTGGAAAAATAGCCCAAGGAAAGGTTCAGGGCCCTGAATTCAAGTCCCGTACTGGAACACGTGCACACACTCATACACTTGCAGGTGTGTGTGCATGCACACACACAAAGACAGTAGAAATTTGTTATCTCACTGTTTGGGAGGATAGAAATCCACAGGATAGTAATGGAAGCAATCTCTTGGAAAGAAAATATAGAATGGGAAGAGAAGCCAAGCGCCGGTAGCTCACGCCTTAATCCTAACTCAGGAGGCTGAGATCTGAGGATCTCAGTTCAAAGCCAGCCCAGGCAGGAAAGTCCGTGAGACTCTTATCTCCAATAAACCACTAGAAAACTGGAAGTAACACTGTGGCTCAAGAGGTAGAGCACTCACCTTGAGCTGAAGAGCGCAGGGACGGCGCCCAAGCCCAGAGTTCAAGCCCCACAACTGACCAAAAAAAAAAAAGAATGGGAAGAGATAAGGTAAGGACAGTAGTGCATTGAAGAGGCCAGCCTTTAAGAGGTAAGAGGAAAGCCAGGCGCCGATGGCTCATGCCTGTAATCCTAGCTACTCAGGAGGCTAAGATCTGAGGATCACAGTTCAAAGCCAGCCTGGGCAGGAAAGTCTGTGAGACTCTTATCTCCAATAAAACACTAGAAAACCAGAAATGGTGTTTTGGCTCAAGAGGTAGAGCACTTTCTTTGAGCTGAAGAGTGCAGGGACAGCATCCAAGCCCAGAGTTAAAGCCCCACAACCTACAAAAAACAAAACAAAATAAAAAAGAGGTAAAGGGAACTTAGTACACACTCTCTGACTTAAACCCACTTCTGCCTTTATCAAACCTGCTTCATTTTTGCCTTATTTGAAATGTCATTTTGACCTCCTGGATACTCATTCTCTTTCCTTCAAAAGCTATATTAGAGTTCAGCTAAGAAGAGGAAATGTCTATTGGGTTTACAAGTTTGGTAATTATTGGACTAGATTAAAACAGGCTCTTTTGTCTTGAGAATAATTTGCCTTCATTGTTCCCCTAGTTCAGGGGTTCTCAAACATTATGGATCTTTTTTATTTTATTTTATACCAGAGAAAATCAAAGAACAACTAACACAAGTGTAGATGAAATGGAAATCTGCTCTATTCTTTTGTACTGTTGCCAGACAAAGCAAGAACTGTTCTGTACAGTGCATTTAGTAGGAAGATTGTTTCCCTTCTATTGTTATTACCATCATCATCTTCATTCTGTTACTGCTGTTTCTATTCCTTTTGCACTATATAGGGCATTGGAGAATCAGTCAAGAGCAAATCCTACAGTAAACACAAGGAGTATTGCCCGAGGTTGCAGACAGTGCTGTGCTTTTGGGCAAGTGTGATTTGAAAGCACCAAGGAATACCTTAATTCCAACTGAGGATTCAGGCCAAGGGCTTACTGGAAGACATCTGAAAATAGCTCCTGAGGAGTGCTAGCAGGTGGGCAGAACTCAAGAGCCTGAGCAAGCACTATTCTGGAGATGGAAGAAGCAGATGGTGTCTGAAAGGGCCATTTACAAATCACAAGGTTCCAGCCCAGATTCTTGGCTAGAGCTTCAGCCAAAGCATGAAGAAGCCAATGGTAAGAGCAAGACAGGCGCTAGGCCAGGAATGGTCTAACCCAGTGACCAAAACAGGGACCTGGCACAACAGGCAAGGGAGTCAAACAGGCATAACATGTAAGAGAGAGGATACCTAGGTGCCAAAACTAGGTGCAAGATCATTTGCCAAATCTCAGCAGGTTGTGGGGAAGAATCCATGGCACTAAATCTCAGGTCAGCAAGAAGATGACCTGCCATTGAACTGGAAGGGATTGAGGCTACTATTGTAATTTTTCCCTCCTATATTTGATCTTGGAGCCCAGCCACAGAAAACAAAAGCAATGAAAATGTTTATCAGTGACCTCAGGTGGTGATTCATCTGTTGTTACAGAATGCCTCTTTCCTTCCAGCCACCTTTATCAGTCTTAATAGATTTTATCTGAGACATTATCAAAAAGTAATACATTTAATGAAACCAGGCTCTTTTGCCAAGAAGAAATGATGAATGTTAAATCTTCAACTAATACAAAATAAACATAATGTAATACTGACTCAATTGTGTATTCTGTTGGCAAATTACACCAAAGATTGAGAAATGCAGATTTAAACTTTAAATTGCATCACTTACCAAGAGGATATGTGCTAAGCAACACATTGTTAGGTAAATCCGTTATTGTGCAAAACCATAAAGTATACAATCCTAAATAATGTAGTTCACTGTACACTTAGCCTTTATGGTATAGCCCATTTGCTTTCATTTTTAAACTTTTTTTGTTAATAAGACACAGATCCACTTGCATAGACCTACACAGGGCCAAAGATCACCAATATCAAAATCTTCCGCCTCTGTATGTTGTCCCCCTGGAAGGACTTCTGTATCAATAACATGCACAGAACTGTCACCTCCTATGATAATTCATTCTTTGGAATCCCTCTTGAAAGTCATGCCTGAACCTGTTTTACAGATAACTTTTTTTCCAATAAGTAGAAGTAGTACACTAACAATAAAAAGGAAAGTTTTACAAACACCTAAGCTAGTCACATAGTTCTTTCTTATGAAGTATCACATACCATACATTGGGCTATACTTTTGTATGATAGGTAGCATAGTAGGTTTATCTCCAAACACATGAGTAAATGCAGCCTTCTATACCTTACAACAGCTATGATGATATCACTAGATGACAATAATTTTTAAATACAATTTTATTGTCATTATTAAGGTGTTGTACAGAAGGGCTACAGTTTCCTAAGTCAAGTAATGAGTACATTTCTTTCTTTTTTTTTTTTTTTGGTCGTTATGGGGCTTGAACTCTGGGCTTGGGCGCTGTCCCTCAGCTCTTCAGCTCAAGGCGAGCGCTCTACCGCTTGAGCCACAGTGCCACTTCCGCTTTTCTAGTGGTTTATTGGAGATAAGAGTCTCACGGACTTTCCTGCCTGGGCTGGCTTTGAACTATGAGCCTCAGATCTCAGCCTCCTGAGTAGCTAGGATTAAGGCGTGAGGCACCGGCTCCCAACAGTACATTTCTTTTTGTACAATGTCACCCCTTTCTTCACTTTCCTCAAGTTACCACTTCCCATCACTCCCCACAAGCTGCATAAATTTCCACATAGTGGACGATGGGAATTTTTCAGTTCTAACCTTAAGGGATCACCATTCTATTTATGGTCTGTTGTGCATTGAAACATTCTTATGCAGTGCATGACAGTGTATTGCATAAGTTTGCATCCATGTAACTAAACCTGCCCAAATAACTTACCCACATAAGAATTTATTTTCTCCCCATAGCAAGATGTTAGTAAGTAGTTCCTGGCTGCCATGATGACTCTTGCTTCCTTCTCCTGTGTTGTTGCTTGGACCATCTCTGTCAGGTGTCAGGTTGGTGAATGACTCAAATGTCAGAGGTGTTTGTTCATGTTGTGCAAGGATATTGTCTATATGCTTCTCCAACCTGTTCAGCATGCTGAAAGGCTGCCCTGAATGGATCATACCATGTGAGTCCCCTTGCCTTCTCATTTCCCAGATGGGTTTGGCCCATAGGAGACACCACCAACATGAGAATGTGAGGTTGAGGTAATTAGTCTATGATCCTTTTTGTGTAGATCACCACAGGTCTGTGTTATCTCACTTGGAGGACTACTCAAGAGCATATTCAGATTTTTTTTTCTTGCCTTAGGGAGTAGTCATGATTGCTGCTATTGCTAACTTTAGGGTATTATGCCATCTCTTACTCTTGCATAACTAACACAGACTACACCTTTTCATACTGTCTTTTTAAAAGAAGTCTCCACCGTTACCCTATTGTAGTGAGTCTTGTCCTGCCAGGACTCTCACAGATTCAACTCTGCACTCTGTCTGCACAGCTGGCATGGCCATATGCAGTATAGTGTAAGACTCAAAGTCTGCTGCTCCACTTCCATCATCAAGGTTGGATTTCAGACAGAAAGGGCAAACAAACAAAAATAAAAAAAAACACTCATGGGGAGAGGGTGAGGGCTGGGAGTAGGGGAGGGTAGCTGAGGAGGTGGGAGGCAAGGGATGGTAGGGGAAAAACAAAGGAGGAGGCAAAAATGCTGGGTAAGAAATGTACTCATGGGCTGGGAGAGTGGCTCTGTGGTAGAGTGCTTGCCTTGCATGCTTGAGGCCCTGGGTTCAATTCCTCAGCACCATATAAGCAGAAAAAGTTGGAAATGGTGCTGTGGCTCACATGGTAGAGCACTAGCCTACAGCTGAAGAGCTGAGGGACAGAGCCCAGGCCCAGAGTTCAGGCCCCACAACTGACAAAAAAAAAAAAATGTACTTGCTCATGTAACTATTACCCCTTAGTACAGTATTTTCACAATAAAAAACATTTTTAAAAAAACATTTTTAAAAAAAACCACTGGTGAACAGCTCTTTGTAGGAAAAACAAACAAAAATCCAGTAGCTTTCTAGGAATTTCCTGACAGCAGGGACCCAGTGGGGTATGTTTTAACTATAGATATTCCTGCCTCAAATAAAACAGTGTTTCAATTAGAAAAAAAGAAATAGAGGCAAGGCCACCAGCAGAGCTTCTAGAAAGAAACATTAAGCACATTTAAGCTATTTAATTAAAAGGTACAAATAAGTTAGTTACAATTCTTTTTCCTAGTTCCTACATTGGGGCTTCTATATTCAATAACAAAAGTAACTTTGGCACAGCCACTATGGAAAATAGTGTGGAAGGTGCTTTTAAAAGAGAATTCAAAACAGAGCTGTTATATAATCCAACAATCTTATTTCTGGGTATATTTCCTGAAGGAAATGAAATCAATATCTCAGAGAGAATTTGGTTTCCTGCGCAGTGATGAGGATGAAGCACAGAGCCTCACATATGTTAGGCAAGCACTCTTTCATTGAGCCACATCCCCATCCCTGGAAGAGATCTTAACCCCCACATTCATTGCAGCATACTCAACAATAGCCCAGACAAAGAACCTAAGTGACTGAGGATGGATGAAAAGATATGGTGGTCATAGTTATAAACTTAGCTGTTTCCAGCCATAAAGAACAAGGAGATCCTGCCATCTGCATCAACATCAATGAACATGAAACACAATTTGCAGAATGAAATAAACCAGACACAGAAATACAAACACTGGGGCTGGGAAGGTGGCTCAGTGGTAGAGCGCATGCCTTGCATGCCAGAGGCCCTGGGTTCAATTCCTCAGCACCACATAAGCAAAAAGAAAAAAAAGCTGGAAGTGACGCTGTGGCTCAAGTGGTAGAGCGCTAGCCTTGAGCTGAAGAGCTGAGGGACAGTGCCCAGGCCCAGAGTTCAGGCCCCATGACCGGACCAAAAAAAAAAAAAAAAAAAAGAAATACAAACACTGTATGACCATATATAGGGAATCTAAAAATGTCCAGATCATAGAAGCTGAGAATGAAATAATGGTGGGTGGACTAGAAGGTGGAAAAAGTGGCTAGATGTTAGTCAAAAGATACAAACAAGTTACAAGATGGGGCTGGGTGTTACTAGCACACACTTGTAATCCTAGCTATTCAGGAGGCTGAGACCTGGAGGATTGAAGTTCAAAGCCAGCCAGTGTAGAAAAGTTGATGAGACTCCATCACTAACCAGCAAAATTCTGAACTGGAGGCATGGATCAAGGGGAAGAGTACCAGCTATATGCAAGGAAGCTAAGCAAGTTAAAAGCTATGAGTTCAAACCCTGTACAAAAAAGAAAAAAAAGACAAAAATGAACAAAAGTAAAGAAAATAAAAGAAGAAAAGATGAGCCTGTTCTGGAGAATAACTATATAATTGGTTACATGAAATATATATCTCAAGTCATAGTATTCACTTTGAATATACTCAATCTTTGTCAATTCTCTTTTTAAACTATTTAAACGATTTCAGCTATTCCATTAAATATTCAACTATATCAAATGCAGTTTAAAACTAACATTATTTCCACTTACAGAGCTCTGAGTACTTTATATGTACAGTGTCTTACCTCTCACAAGTCCTATTAGGCTTTATTAATAGAAGAGGAAACGAAGGCAAGACCTGTAAAAAAAAACCATGTAATTATAACAGCTGACCTTCCAAAGCCCAGGCTGCGAGTCAGAGCACTATTACTGCACTACCAAGCACATCCTGTGTCGTCTTCTTTTCTCAATACTTCTACAAAGGAGAGTCTCTGCGTACAACATGGCAACCTAGTCATAGATCAACATGCCTCCTGTATCCTCAGAGAGCAGCACAGCAGGAAAAAGAAGCTAGAGTTTACAGATAGTAGAGGTTGTGGAGAAAGTGTACAAAGAACAATGACTGGAAAGACTTGTGTCTGTGTCAAAGTTAATATGAATCACAAGTACATTCTAGAGAAACAAGTTTTCAATTTTGAGTCTTTCTTTCTGGTTGTCAACCAATTATACAACAGCTCTTAACACTGAACCAGGTATTCTAAGTGGATGCAAAAAAATGACACAACCTTTGGAAGAAACTAGATTGGACCAATGTCAGCCCAAGACATTTTCCTGAGAAATATCTTGGGGATGGCCCTGTCTCCCTCACAGCACAGAGTTCTGGAAGGCAGTGGCAAGCCAAGAAATATGACCTTATTTTTGTACATGTACATGTAAACAGGACTAGAGCAGAAGTACCTAGAGCATAACACCCTATACTGCCATTGAACCTTTTGACTTCTCAAAGGTGATCAAGGTATAAATGTTATCTTTGGAAAAACCAAAGATAAATATAGTCATATACTTCATGGCGGGGCTCTATTCTGAGAAGTGCATTGTTAGGCAATTTCACTATTGTGTGCGTATCACAGAGTGTATGGACACAAATGTAGATGATGTAACCGACTACGTCTGAACTGTATGGTCTAGCCAGTTGCTCCTGGTCTATAAACCTGCCCAGTATATCACTATGCTGCGTACTGTAGGCAGTTGTCTCACAATGGTGAATATTTATGTATCTAAACTTAGCACAAGTACAGTAAAATACTATTCAATAGGAATTTTCAGCTTCATTACAATATCATGGGGTCACCATACTATATGTGGTCCATCATGGACAGAAGTACCCTCTCAGGGCCATGCCTTGTTGAAGCACTGAGAGAAGCTGTTGTTTAAGATGGTATACAATTTACTAAGAGTCCTGGAATGGCACAGTGTAAAGCCCACTAGTGGGTGATTCTACACATGCACCTTGGAAGCTGCAGGATGGCCAGTTGAAGACTGGGTGCCTTGTAACACTATTGTCACAGTCTAATCGCTGTGTCCGCAGTATGCTTCAAGGAGATAGTTGAAGTACGCGTGTGGCAATATTAGCAAAATAGTTGAGAAGTGCAAAATGTCCCAGTCCTAGCTTCATCACCCACTTGCTTTGAGAAGTTGGACTTTACCTGCCTTAGAGGCTCAGTTTATTCATCTGAACATTGGGGCAAAACTCAACCTACCTAAGAGAATTATGAGAACGAAGTGAAATAGAAGGTGCAGAAATGTTTTGGAAGTATTTGAAGCTTAAGTCTGAGAATCCTCACCAAATCCTCAGGAGTTGCGTCGTTCACGCCAGTGGCCACTGGCCAGACTAGCTGATGAATGCTTAACATGTGACCAGTGGTTTGGAGAGCCAGCTTCTACATTTTTTTTAATTGTGGAAATACCATAGAGAGGGGTTACAATTTACATGGGCAAGGTAATGCATACATTTCTTATCAAGCATTGTTGCTTTCTCCTTTGTTTCCCCTTTCCATCCCCTCTCTCCTTCCCCTGTCCCCCTCCAACCCTGTCCCCTTCCTCCCCCCTTCCTCTCCCCTCCCCCCTATGACAAAGTTGTAAGGTTCATTTTTGTCTTGTACATCTTATTGTTGCAATAGGTCCACCTGTATCCCTATCTAAACAATTTATTTCCAGCTTCTACATTTTACTAACTTTTAATTGGAATTTAAAAAACAAACAAACCTCAGGCTGGGAAGGTGGCTCAGTGGTAGAATGCTTGCCTTGCATGCACGAGGCCCTGGGTTTGATTACTCAGCACCACATAAGCAGAAAAATAAATAAATAAAATTTTTAAAAATCTTCATTGTCCAAGAAGCATTGTACTCACAACCTGACTTATAGAATTATAACCTCTTTGCAAAACTACTTAATAATAACAATTTAAAAACCCCTCATATGTGTTGAAAATAAACTACATAAGCAACTTTCAGGTGGAGACTGGAGAGAGGGACTGGGAGGGAATAAGGGAAGGGATGACACTGAACCAAAGGAAACCTACTCATTACCTGACTTATATAACTGTAATCCCTCTGTATATCAACTTTAAAACAACAGTAAGGTAAAAAACATTTTTAAAAACCTCATACTTGATTCAGTTATTGGAAATATTTTAAATGCATTTAAGCCAAGCTGAATACATGAATCTACTTCATGAACTGTAACTTTAATGAAATCTAAATATGCAATATTTCCAGTGAAGTTTGGTGTTTAAATTGAGATTTGCCACAAGTATGAAATATATACCAGATTTCAAAAACTCAGTGAAAACTACAAAATAATTTAAGATGTCTTGGTAATATTTTATATTAATGTGACTTCTGGAAAATGTAAAATTACAGTGTGACTGAAATATTGTATTTTTGAAGGAGAGGCCACTTTAGCAAGGAAGAAGCATGAAAGGAGAGCCTTAATTCCTGTAGGAACTGGGGAAGGGGTTACTGCAGAATAAATTCCATGATCCCAGGCAAAGTGTTGGTAACATCCCTGGCTTCTGAGGACCAATGGCAGAAATACAGCCTCTTGATGACTTGCCAGCTCTGCCTGGAATTCCTCTTCCTGTCCAGGCACAACGTACCCAACACCTTGGAATTTTGCCATTGCCTTGGTAGCATAAGACCATAATTGTTTGCTTTGATTTGTGACCATGACATTTCAATAAGCAGGAAACTCTCCAAATTGGCATCAATTCTATGTTCACGTCTCTTTCAAAGTTTACCTTAGGCCCAAGGTGAAGTAGGAATTCACTCAGCAGGCAGTTGTTCTCTGGTTTTCAATGTTTTCCTCTAGAACAGCCTTGTTTTCAAGAAGATTTGCAGTCAGACTGCTGAGGCTACGAGAGAAAATCTGGCCAAGGGGACCCAGCCCCCGCCTTGCCTGGCTCAGCACATCTGGAAGTGGTTTCTCAAGGGCCGCCTCCCTGCCTTCAATGTCTGGATTCCCAGCTGCTCCGAGGCACCGGAGTGGAAGAATCCCAAGCCACTCAAAGTCAGCACAAGCAAAGGAGTGCGGACCAGACCAGAGAGGCATGTTCTCTTCCAAGTGGAATATTGGCTTGGAGCTCACCAGCCCTTTGGGATTTCCTATAGGATCTTAGAAGTCTCAAAAGCAGCACTCTGAAGGGCAGCACTACTTCAGAACCAAGGAGCCTAAAGTCCTATTCTACCCGTCCATCAGGTAAATAGAGAAAATTTCAAGTGTCGTTTTCCCACTTTACCCTGGCCAATTTTCAGCACTCCTTTATTTTGTTTGCTACAGACTAAGGAAGTAACTCAGAGGTTTCTGATCTGCACATACTCTTCATAGCACTTCAGTTGGTGATTGGGATCATCATTCTAACAAAACTTATTTTTTTTGCCATTATAGTGAATTTAAGATAGTCCACATGTGAGGTTTTCCCACCCTGGACTATACTTGCAGACCATGATTTATTCTCCCTCTCTCCCCAGAATAGGTGATTTTCTATTTGTGTAGAGTTTCAAGCATAGAGATCCGCAGAGAACCCAGATAAATGCTACTCTTTAATGTAAGTTTGTCGTTGAGCCCAAATGACTTAATTGGGTTCTGATTCATGATTTTGGAATCTGTCCGGAAACTGTTCTGAGGGCCTCCCCCAATGAGAGAACAACTAGCCATTGTGGAAATCTGTGCATAGAAGTTGTAGTGTTCAGGTTTGAAAAATGCTTTCAACATTGAAAAAATGTCTTATGTGACTTTTTCAGCACAGGTAATCTATTGGAAAAGCTTGATTTAACCTGATAGAGTGAGTGAACACACAAGAGAGAGCATATGAGAGAGACAGAGACAGAGAGACACACAGAGAGAATCTAAACATCTGGATATGCAGTAGGAAAGTATCAGTCCTGCTGTTTGGCCTCAGGTAGCCTGATACTCAAAGTGATATTGGTTGGTTGATTGGTTTTATCTTTTCCTTTTCCTCCAAATATTTTAGATTTGAACTTCTGTACAAATCCTTTGTATTACATAATGGACTTCCATTCCTCCCTCTAGTATAGCTAAGAGCAGAGCTGCACACTGTAGAAGTGAGAACATGGGTGCTGCTGTCGGACTCACAGGGAGGGTGATGTCTGTGTGTCACCTCTTGTAAGCTGGACTCAGCACCTTCACTTGCACTTGCCTTTTCGTGTCATCTGCAATAGGAACAAAAGGATGTAATGTCAATAACACAGGGTCTGCAAAGTAGTGAGGCCTCAGGGCTGGTGAGTTTCCCTGGTGACAAAAGTGACCCCTTATTTGCCCTTGGCAGCACCCCTGCTCTTGATATATTCTTTTCTCTGACAGTCTGATCATCCCAGTGTTCCCCATATCTTATCATCTCTCCAGGACCCCGCTTGCTCCCTCCCTTCCTCCCTCCCAAATCTTTCTTTTTTTCTACTCTGGCCCTGTTTTTTTTTTTTTTTTTTTTTTGTCTTCCTTGTTCTTTCTATGTGTATCGCTCTGATGGCTAGCGTACAGATAACCTTATTCTAAATGCTTTAAAAGAACTTTGAACCTTAGCTTTTGAAAGTGGATCCCAATGAAGGGCTTTCAGCAGGAAAGGGATGTTCAGAGTTATTTTGATAGAGAAATTAGAAAGATAGGGTTACTATTACTGGGTTTAGGGAAGATGATGGGAGGTAGGAGCTTTGTGGGAGGTATTAGGATCTCAGTTTGTGACCCGTGGATGCCTTCAATGATGCTCAGTGGCCAGTTGGATCTGGGAGTCTGAAGTCCAGGTGGGAGTCTATGCTGGGGACAAAAATATAGGCATACTAAAAATAGGACATAATAGAGTTCCACATGAGGAAGAGAGAGAGAGAGAGAGAGAGAGAGAGAGAGAGAGAGAGAGAGAGAGAGAGAGGGCGGTAGGGGAAGGCCAGATGGCTTCCTTTCTTCATGGAGTGAAAGGAGGATCCATGTGGCCAAAGACCTTTCCAAGAGTGAACTTAGAATCCCGAAAAGTTAGATGAATGTCTATCACCTAAAACTGTATATGGATTAAAAGGTACCTGAAACCTGATTCCAGAAGAGTCCTAAGTAATATCAGATCCTATTCTTCCCTGGATGCAATGGGCAGAGATAGGCCACACCCATATACTCCAAACTCTGAGCTCCTGGATGTGCAGTCTTTTTTTTTTTTTTTTTTTTTTGGTCGGTCGTGGGGCTTGAACTCTGGGTCTGGGCGCTGTCCCTCAGCTCTTCAGCTCAAGGCGAGCACTCTACCACTTGAGCTACAGTGCCACTTCTGGTTTTCTGGTGGTTTATTGGAGATAGGAGTCTCACGGTCTCTCCTGCCCAGGCTGGCTTTGAACCGAGATCCTCAGATCTCAGCCTCCTGAGTAGCTAGGATTACAGGCGTGAGCCACCAGCACCCGGCTTGGGTGTGCAGTCTTTATCCCAGGAAAATAACGGGGATATTGTGTCAAATGTCTGTGAAAGAGTTTTCCCAGATCCTTGGGGATCCTGTGTAAAGTTTGATCAGCTGGAAGAAGCACTTTGGAAAACATGGACTGTCTATTCAAGAGTTTATTTTTTTGTCTAAAGTTCTAGATTCAGAGCAGTGAAGAGTAATTACGTATTTTATGACATATTTGACAGTCTTGAATTCTTTTTTTTGTCAGTCTTGGGGCTTGAACTCTGGGCTTGGGCGCTGTCCCTCACCTCTTCAGCTCAAGGCTAGCACTCTACCACTTGGGTCACAGTGCCATTTCTAGTTTTCTGGTGGTTTATTGGAGATAAGAGTCTCACAGACTTTCTTGCCTATGCTGGCTTTGAACAGTGATCCTCAGATCTCAGCCTCCTGAGTAGCTAGGATAACAGGCATGAACCAACAGTGCCTGGCAACAGTCCTGAATTCTTGAGCCATTTCCAGTTCACTCTCTTTTAAATGAAACTTTATTCTTCAACCCACAGGTCCCAGTTCTTACCACGTGGGTGCACATGGCTCTGTTACGAAAAGGTAGGATTGCAGCTTCTGAAAATGGTATCTCAGAAGAAAGTTTGGAGATTGAGAGCTTTCTTCTCTCCTCCTTTTCCTTTCTCCTCTTCTTCCTCCTTCTTTCTTCTCTCCTCCTCCTTCTCCCTTCTACCTCCTTCTCTAATTCTTCCCCTCCTCTGCCTCCTCTAGTTTTTGTCAGAACCATTCCTGTGGGAAGTTGTTAAATATTTTGGTCAGAAGTAGGCTTACATCATGGGATCATGTATTTCTATAAAACTTGCAAATGTGATTTATTTCACATTCATGCTTAATTTAGCATTTGTAATTAATTCATTTAAAAAAATTTTTTTTGTCTGTTATGGCCTTGAACTCAGGGCCTGGGTGCTATACCTGAGCTTTTCTGCGCAAGGCTAGTGCTCTACCACTTGAGCCACAGTTCTACTTCTGTTTTTCTGGTGATTAATTGGAAATAAGAGTCTCACGGAATTTCCTGCCTGAGCTGACTTTGAATGGAGATCCTCAGATCTCAGCCTTGTGAGTAGCTAGGATTATAGGTGTGAACCACCAATGCCCAGCTGCCATTTTGTATTCTTATTCTTAAAGGATTGCCTCAAATATTCAGACCCATCAAAACCTAGGTGTAACCTTTATTTTACTAGTGGTTTATGAGTTTGGGGAAAACACAGTAACCTGATCTTGGTATTATTACTCTCAAAGTAGAGCAACCTGATTTGGTAAATGAAAACAGGGATGTCCTGTTAAATTTGAGCCTCACAAGAATAATTTAGCGTATGTTCTAAATATTTTACATAACATGCTTAACCTAAAAAATTAATTTTAGGGGCTGGGAAGGTAGCTCAGTGGTAGAATGCTTGCCTTGCATGTGTGAGGCCCTGGGTTCGATTCCTCAGCACCACATAAGCAGAAAAACCTAGAAGTGGTGCTATGGCTCAAGTGGTAGAGCACTAGCCTTGAGCTGAAGAGCGGAGGGTCAGCACCCAGGCCCAGAGTTCAGGCCCCATGACCAACAAAAGAAAAAAAATTAATTTTATCTAGACAACCTATGTCATTGGCAACAGCTAGTTGGAGGGGTCAGATAATGGAAGATATTGAGCCATCTTCCTCACATGCTGTGGTAAGTGAACATTGACCAAACTGATTGATATAGTACAGAATTTTGTCCCTTCTGCTTCCCCATAGTGTTGATTTACATTGCGTCTGATACGGGATTGTCTCTGGTTGAATCCAATAACCCAAAAGGCAGCAAAGAACTAGAAGTCAGAACGGTAGAATCACTGAGCCTTGGAACATAGTTTTAGAAAGCATGCAGACTTACTTTGGAGTCAAAAAACAAACCAATATGAGACTAATAAATTATCTTTTGGGGGAGGATTTAAACTGAGGGCCTGCTACCACATGAATCACCCCCTCAGGCCCTCTTTTGTTTTAGTTTGTTTTTTAGATAGGATCTCACACGTTTTTCCCAAAGTTGGCTTAGATGGTGATCCTTCTACCTCTACTTCCTGAACTCTTTTAATCTTTTTGTTATTGTTGGTTGTGGGGCTTGAACTTTGGGCTTGGGCACTGCCCCACAGCTCTTCAGCTCAAAGCAAGTGTTCTACCACTTGAGCTACAGCGCCACTTCTGGTTTTCTGGTGGTTAATTGGAGGTAAGAGTTTCACAGACTTTCCTGCCCAGGCTGGCTTTGAACAGTGATCCTCAGATCTCAGCCTCCTGAGTAGCTAGCATTACAAGCATGAGCCACCAATGCCTGGCTCTCTTTTATTCTTTTACTCAGGGCAAGAATGTTCTGCACATCATCCTGAACTAGTGTCTGAATTAGTTAAAAATCAAAACACATTTATTCATAATTAGGGCTGGCTCACAACAAACATTATATAAATGTTGACTGTGCACAACAGTGGCTGCAAAGGCAGCCCCTGCAATGCAATGATCAGGTTTTCAGCACAGCTTTAGCCTGGTCCTCCTTACACTTCCTCTGTGGGTCTTGACAACAGTGTAGCAGTTAAAAACTTTGCTCTGTGTGTGTGCTTGAAGAGAGGTGGCAAGCTAACCCCTTCTGATCACAATGTTTACACTGCCATCAAAACTTTAGGTTTTAGGTTCATAGAATAATCTTTGATAGGTTTCCCTTTGCCTTTCAGTTAATCAAGTGCTGCTTCTCCTTCTGATTGGGACCCTCTGTGGGATCGTGTACAAAAAAGTTCGTAAAGGAGCTGTGCTCAGGAGGGAAACAGGTGAGCAAGCATGGAACCCAGCAAGAAAGGACAACTGTGAGAACCTTTGAGTCCTTTCAATATTGGGACTCAGGGACAAGTGAAAACTTGGTCAGCTTGTAGGATTCACAAGAAGGGCCTGCTGAAACACTGTGAGCATTTACACTTCTGATAGGCTCCAAGTGATGTTCAGGCTCTTAGATAGTGCACCATACTTGGAATGGACTGCTTTGCATCCCATCTCTTGGAGCCTCTAAACATTTTGCTTATGAAAAATTTTCTCTCCTCTCCTTACTGGTTCATTCCTATTATTGCCCAAACAGCCTATCTAAGGGTTTGGACATGAAGGGTCCCCCACAAAAGGTTTATGTATTGCAGGCTTGAACCTAATACAAGCAGTGTTCAGAGGTGGGGCTTTGGGAAATGATTGAATCATGAGGACTCTGCCTTATTGATGGATCAATCCACTGATGACTCAAATTTTGATTAAGCTATTAGAGGTGGTGGGCTTGTAGAAAGCGGGGCTTGGTGGGAAGAAGCAGGTAACTGTTAGCATGTTATGATGGTTTCTGATTTGGTTCAGCACAAGACAGCTTCCCATAGGCAAACTATTGAACAGGTTGGTTCCAGCACCCATGGTACAGAGGATCCAGCATGTAGCAGACAACTCCCGAGGCCACTGTAAGGATGAAGCACTAATAAAGAGAGTTTACCTTCTGTGCACCATTATCCTTCATCCTGTCCAGGGGATACTTCCTGAAGAGAGCTGTATTTATGGCTTAGGTTAGCTTCAGCTGCTGTGGCTGCTCCTTCTTTTCTGGGGAGGCCTTCTTCCTGCTTGATCCTCCTGTTGCCTGTTGCCTGCTGAAGACCTCTAACCTGTGTCTAGCAGCCAGGCTCTGCCCCCACTTTTCAGCTCTTCTCTCACTTTACCTCTTAGAATATCCATGAGCCATTGTTGAGAGCTCTGTTCTCTAGTCCTTTCCAGCAATTCAGTCCAGTTCATTTCTGCAAACTTTCCTCATGCACTTCCACTGCCAGACTCAGTCAGGCAGTGTAATGAGCTCACAGTATTGTTGTAGAGAGGCAGCCTCAAAAACAGACTGTTCAAGTATAGTGTGGCAAGTGCTGAGAGAAAGATAGCCACGAACTCATGCATCTATCCATTCATCCTTCCAAAGTATACTGACAATGCACCAAGTACCAGGTTCTGGGTTAAGAGCAGAGGCACAGGATAAACTAGATGCCCTCTCTACACTCAGAGCTCCTATATCCAGGGGAGTGTGCACAGTTCAGTGTGCACATACTTCCAACCACAGGCAAGGGCACCGGAGAACAAGGGAGGGTGGGCTACTTCATATAGGAGCTATCACAGGCTTCTCTAAGGACCCCATGTCTGTACTGTATCCAGTGGTTAGTTTCATTCAATACTTCTTCAGTTGAACATACTACCTTGTGCCTGGGTGTCTAGAGATTTTGCAAAAAAGTATCTGAAAACACAGACCACGCTTTAAATAAATATTGGATGCATCTACAGATTGATCCTTATTATTCAGTGATATGGTAGCATGGACGTCTTATTTTCAATGCTGAAAAGCATGATCAATTATGCATCTTGTAAATTAGTCATGTTCTTTTATTTATCTCCTTTCCCATGCTGTCAGCATTTGAGAAATTTAAGAGTGAACAAGGAAGACAAATGACAGGCAGTATAGTTTATAGCTATCATAGGTAAGAAGGTATTCCAATTTAGGGAAGAGTTGAGAGGACTGTTGAACCAACAGAGCTTTTCTTTTCTTATGTGGGTTTTTTTCCTCATATTTTTATTGTCAAGGTGATTTACAGAGGGCTTATAGTTACATAAGTAAGGTAGTAAATATAATTCTTGTCAAATTCGTATGGTTTTTAACTTCCCCTTCTCCCCATGTATGATTCTAAGGTTGGCTTCTATATGACACCTCCAAAATAATAGGGACTTAAAAGTTGGTCTTTTAAGTGAAAAAACTGATGTCAATTGCACTACTATCCAGGTAGAAATTCCATGGCTTTGATGTTCCTAACTCACCTACTTTCCATCATGTGGGCCAATTCTTTTTTTTTTTTTGTCGGTCGTGGGGCTTGAACTCTGGGCCTGGGCACTGGCCCTCAGCTCTTCAGCTCAAGGCGAGTGCTCTACCACTTGAGCTACAGTGCCACTTCTGGTTTTCTGGTGGTTTATTGGAGATAGGAGTCTCACGGTCTCTCCTGCCCGGGCTGGCTTTGAACCGCGATCCCCAGATCTCCGCCTCCTGAGTAGCTAGGATTACAGGTGTGAGCCACCAGCGCCCGGCAAACCATAGAGATTCTTTTTTTTTTTTTTTTTCCGGTCATGGGGCTTGAACTCCGGGCTTGGGTGCTGTCCCTCAGCTCTTCAGCTCAAGGCAACTGCTCTACCACTTGAGCTACAGCGCCACTCATGTGGGCCAATTCTGACCATCATACCAAGAGTCCATTGAGAAGAGTGAACTCAGCATCTGCACTTATTACTTGAACTAACATCCTGCTTATCAGAGTTCAGTCACACGGAGTGGCAGGGAATCTGGGGAAATAGTTTTAGTGGTTGGTTGTGTGCCTGCAAACATTTGAACACTTTTCTAAAAGAAGAGGGAGAAATTGAGCTGGAGAAGAACCAGCAGTCTGCAGAAATGTACAAGACAGGTCAGCTGCTCCTGCAAGTCCTTCCTGCTCCACGTCACTGTTTTTGCTGTTCCCAGATGCTGCTGCCACGACTCCAGAGGATGGGGAAGAGGAGATCCCGGTGGTGATTTGTGCGGCTGCAGGGCGCATGGGCGCAGCCATGGCTGCCATCAACAGCATCTACAGCAACACTGATGCCAACATCGTCTTTTACGTGGTTGGGCTGCGCAACACCCTGCCTCGAATTCGGTGATTTGTGTGCTGAGTCTTTGGGGTTGTTCCACTTCCTTTTAGTCTTTCTTTTCTTACCTTAAACAGATTCACTTCCTTTTGGGAATGGACACCATGAGGTTTACCTGGTCATCTAACACCCGAGTTGTCTAGATAAGGAAATGCAGCAAAGCCTCATTGCCTTGGTAGATGAAGCTTCCGTCTAATGAAAAAAAGAACCCCAGCCCTTGAGCAACTTTTGACAGTCCTTCTTTTTAAAAATTATTACTCTTGCTGAGAGCTGGTGGCTCATACCCAGTAATCATAGCTACACAAAAGGCTGAGATCTACAGGACAATGGTTTGAAGTCAGCACGGGAAGAAATTATCTACAAGATTTCTGCTCTATAATAACCAACTAGAAGCCAGGCTGAAGAAGTGGCTCAACTGGCATCAGCCAAGCTAGCCATCTTAACATATATATACCGTTAAGCCCAAGCCCTAGTACCATAAAATGATGAATTTTGAGGCAAGATCTCACTATTGTCGCCCAAGCTGGCCTTGAAGTGGTGATTCTCCTGCCTCTGCTTCCCAAATGCTGAGATTAATGGCAGGTCCCACCATATCTGACCTAACTAAATATACTTATTAATTCATAAATACATATTTATTTTAGATTTCATAAATATATGACCATTTATAAAAATATATTGAATTAACTAAATATATCAATCTTTGATAAATATATTTATGTATGTGTTATAAATATGTAAATATATAAGTATATGGTATATATGAAAGATACAAAAAAAATACACATACTGTACACGTTTGATTGAATCCATGGCCTCTCATACTAAATTCATGCTCTCCCACTGACTGAGCTGTACCCCAGCCCTATACTTTTTTTTTGTCAGTCATGGTACTTGAACTCTGGGCCTGGGCACTGTTCCTGAGCTCTTCAGCGCAAGGCGAGCACTCTACTACTTGAACACAGGGCCACTTCCAGTTTTCTGGTGGTTAATTGGAGATAAGAATCTCATGGATTTTCCTGCTGGGCTGGCTTTGAACAGTGATCCTCAGATCTCAGCCTTCTGAGTAGCTACGATTATAGGCATGAGCCTGTAATCCATGAGGCCTGGCTCCAACCTTACACTTTTTTAACTGAAAACTAAAATTTTATATGGTATAGTGTCATTTTGAACTGATTCTTTTCATCATGTATCGTACTAAAAATTAACTAGAGTTATATTAAGAGGAAATAAATATACTAATAAGAGGAGGAATAAGCAGCAAATCAAATGTAAATGTATTATACGACATGGGGTACATGGATAACCTGTGTGGAGAGTGCCTTCCCAGAAATGATAAGAACACTGTCAGATCTGACATAACATAATACATTATGAGTGATGAGAAACAATGAGTCCAATTAATCATAAAATACATTAGGAGAGCAGTTTCTCAAAATGTATTACAGACAAAGGATTACTATTCAGAATAAAAAATAGTTACCAAAAAAACTTTTAAAGTACAAGCCTAGTTTTAAAAAAGTGAGCATAGAACATGACAGTAAAATCCTGGATTGGATCCCCAGCATCATAAAAGACAAAAATGAGAGGCATAGTGGCACATATCAATAATCGCAGCATTCATAAGCAGAGGCAGGAAGATCCCAAGTTCAAGCCTCCTCTGGGTGCATAGGGATAACCTGCTAGCCTGGGCCATTGTAGTAAGACCCTGTCTCAAAAGACAAGCAATGAGCCAACTTACAAAAAGTAGAATATGAATAGACAATTCATACAAGAAAAAAGTGCAAATGGTCAACAAAGTGAGCAAGAGCTATTTCCCAGTTCCTGGCTATCCAGTCCACCCATAACTCCCATCTTTAAATATTGTGAAAACTGTTTTCATTGAAGTAGAACTCAAAAACAGGAAACTGTAAATGCAGAGTATAGCTTAGAAAATCCTCACCATATCATTACCAATACTTGGTGTGACCCATCCTTTCAACTTTGCTGTTCCAATGATGCCCATTGGTTTCTCCTTGTAGTCTTCATTTAAGATTCCTTTATTTCTGATGTGGTTGAGCACCGGAAGTTTGTGTTTAAGATTCTTGTCTATTTTTGTTTTGTCTTTTTTTACTGACATGATCCACTTTTGTGGTTCAAAGTTTACAAATTAAATTTTGTTGTTCAGTTTTAATTATTTTACCAATTTTTGTTTTCATTGTTGGTATGCTAGTGGATCTAATCAGGGCCTTGCCCATTGTGGGCAAAGACTCTAACACTGAGCTACATTCCCAGCCCTCTTTGGTTATTATTATTATTATTCAGTTGTGGGGCTTGAATTCTGGGCCTCGGTGCTGTCCCTCATATCTTCAGCTCAAGGCAAGCACTCTATTGCTTGAGCCACAATGCTACTTCCAACTTTCTGGTGATTCATTGGAGATAAGAGTCTCAGGAATGTTCTTGCCCAGGCTGGGTTTGAACCACGATCCTCAGATCTCAGCCTCCTGGGTAGCTAGGATAACAGGTATGAGCTACTGGCACCCAGCTGATTATTATTTTTTTTAGTTAATTTTCAAACAGGGTCTTATGCTTACATTCTGGCTGTCTTGGACTGAAGTTCTCCAATTTGAGTTTCCTGTGTAGCTGGGATGACAGGAGCTGCCATTAGGCCCTTGGTTGAGATGTGGGGGTCTTGTGCACTTTTTTCCCAGGCTGGCTTCGAGCTTTGCTTCCCAAGTAGCTTGGAATACAGGTATGACCCAACACACCTGGCTTTGGGAGGGTTATTTTTTAATCAGGAAACTGCTGCTGTAGGTGGTATTAGTTGTTGGAAATTGTGTCTTGAGATTGTTTCTACCAAGACTCCCCTTAGGAAATAGATAAAAAGTAGAAGTCTGTAGGACTGAGAGAAGAGCATGAGGGAAGAAGACAAGTGATGTGGATACACAGGGAGACAGAGGGAGAGAGAGAGACAGAGAGAGACAGAGAGAGAGGAGAGAGAGACGAGAGAGAGACAGAGAGGAGAGAAAGACAGAGAGATTCAAAGGATTCAAAGGTAAATTCAAACCATCCTTGGAGTCAGAGTAAAAAAAGACTGTAGTGTTGAAGATGTAGACTATCTCACTTTTCAGTGTTTTAGAGTGAGCATCATGTAGCAAGATGGTCCTGATGAGCTGCATGCTTTTTACAGAAAAAGCACTTCCCTTCTTCCGTCTTCTTGGGAGGATATCTGATTTGGGGGTTTATCTAATTATTTTTTTTCTTTTCTTTCCCTCATAGAAAGAAATCTTGGTTGAAAGTGGGGCAGAAAGAAAGTTTGGAAGGCTAACCAGATAGGGAAACAATCAGGAAGATTTTAAACTAAACTTCACTAAGTTTACATTCATTTATTTAGTTAGTCAGTTAGTTAGTTAGTGCCAGTCCTGGTGCTTCAACTCAGAGCCTGGGCACTGTCCCTATGCTTCTTTGCTCACGGCTAGTGCTGTACTAATTAAGCCACAGCTCTACTTCTGGCTTAATTTTTGGTAACTAATTGGAGGTAAAGAGTCTTATAAGAGTTTTTCTGCTTGGACCGACTTTGAACCACGATCTTCAGATCTCAGCCTCCTGAGTAGCTAGAATTATAGGCATAAGCCAGCAGCACCCAGCATCATACATTTATTTTTAAACTTTCTAAGTGAGCAGCTGATGAGCCCTCAGGCAACAGGAAAATTGAGAAAAGACTTTTAAAATTATATTATTATTATTATCTTTAAGTATTTGTACAAAGGGATTCCCATTCAACAAATCTGTTTGTAAGTACGAGGTATCTTGATCAATATCTCCTCTTTCATTATTCTCCTTCATCCCGCCCAACCCCACCTCAATTTTCCTAATTTCGTAGGATATGCATTGAATAGTATGACTGAACTTTCCCCCTGAGACAGGATTTAAAGAGGTTTTTATTGTCTCTTTAGAAAATGGATTGAACATTCTAAACTGAGAGAAATAAATTTTAAAATTGTGGAATTCAACCCTGTGGTCCTCAAAGGCAAGATTCGACCTGATGCTTCAAGGCCAGAGTTGTTGCAGCCTGTGAGTACGGGTGACATGTACTGGGGACAGTTGCAAGTCGCACTGTTTCCTGTAGAGTAGTTGCTACTGGATACACACAAGCCTCCACAGAGGTCTATTTAGTCAGAGCGTATGAACCACCTGCCCAAGAAAGGATCCAAGATGCTTAACATGAGCATAAGGAGGCTGTTAAACAGAAATGGGGCATCAGAAATAGAATGAATTTATGTGTGTGAACAGGGACAGTGAAGCCAGGAGGAACAAATTCTCACAGTCTATGGGCTGTTATGTGTACTGGCATGGACATTCCAGTTAGCTTACCCTTCCAGCAGCTAAGGAGAAACTGCAGTGTAATTGATTCTAGGCCTCACTGTCAAGTAAGAGCATTTTTAGGAGACGCCACTGCTAACATTGGAAATTAAAAGTATTTTCCTGCTTACAAAAGAGACCTTGTCCTATAGGAAGTCTAGTTTTCTGTCTGCTTGAGTAAGGATCTAATTTTGTGGCCCAGGCTGGCCTTGGGCTCTCAGTCCTCCTGTCTTAGCCATCCTAGTACTGGGATTATAGGTGTGCCATCACACCCAACTAGAGTAATGTTTCTGATGGCAGTGTTAGAGAAACTGCAGCCACCTTCTATATGTGACTATTACAGAAAGAAACTGCAGCCACTTCCTATATGTGACTGTTACTGAAACCCATCCTTATGCATTCACTGAACTATAAGTTCTGTATGATATGATCATGCCTGAATTCCAGATGTTCAGTGTTGGAGTATATGAATTGAGTTAGGATGATGATTGAACACATTGTAATCAGTGAAACTTTAAAACTCCCACTGGCTCATGCTTCTCCAACCATGCTCATGCTTTTCTGGGTCAAGGAGCTAAAAGGTTGAACTTGTTGCTGGATGACACATGTGACTGTGCATTTGTGTGTGTGTGTGTACAACTTTCATCTGACTGAGCTGAGAAGAACCTAAATGATGGAGGTAGAGGAAAATAGGCAGTCCACACACTAGAAGATTGACTAGGGAGCTTTGGTGACTTCCACAATAGTGGTTCACAGTGATGGTTCACTGTATTACACTGGTGGTTCAGCCAGCCTCAGTGGTGGGGGTTGGAGCTACAAGAGTCACTGATCTGCCAGCTCTGTTTTCAGCCCCAGAGCCCAAATAGACCAAGCACTGTGAACTCAGGTACAGTATCATGCTCCACACCAGAGGTGGAGCCGAGTCGAGGCCCTGGTCAAAACCGACTTGAATACATCCAGAAGACATCAAGCTTCTTCCCTAACACTATCTCCCTTGTTTTCACAGCTAAACTTTGCTCGATTTTATCTCCCTCTGCTTATACACCAACATGAGAAAGTCATCTATTTGGACGATGATGTAATTGTACAAGGTACACTCACTGACTGCTGGGAACACTTGGAAAGGAGAAGCTGATGTAGAATGGCCATCTCTTCAGTTCCCATGTAGCGAGTTGCCTAGTGGCTTTGAATGTTCTTCAAGTTGTGAGTGCAGCATCATTGTAAGTTCGGTAATATTTTGAAAGCAGGATTTGATACTTTCCTGGTCAACGCAGTTGACTTTCTGAGAGCCACACTGTGATGGTTATCTGCAGTAAATGGCTTAGTAGCCCTTCCTGTGTGTCCCTAAAATGTAGAAAAATGAAGTCTTTTGAGGACATTCTTAGGAAAGGCCTATATTTGGTTGTTTGAATGTTGTGCTCTATCTCTTCCATAGTCAAACAGGACAATGATTGCTATGCTTACTACAGAGCTACAAAAATAGATTGGACCGATACTGATCTGAACATGTCTAGTAGCTTTTCTTTTTAATGGTTTTAGAGGGTTTTTTTGTTTGTTTTTGTCAGTTGTGGAGCTTAAATTCAGGGTCTGGGTGCTGTCCCAGAGCTCTATTGCTCAAAGTAGCACTCTACCACGTTGAGTCACAGCTCCTCTTCCAGTTTTTTGTTTTATTTTGTTTTTTTCTGGTTGTGGGGCTTGAACTCTGGATCTGAGTGCGGTCCCTGAGCTCTCTAGCTCAAGATTAGCGCTCTACCACTTCTGGTTTTCTGAGTGGTTTATTGGAGATAAGAGGCTCACAGACTTTTCTTGCCTGAGCTGGCTTTGGACAGCGATCCTTAGATCTCAGTCTCCTTGAGTAGCTAAGATTACAGGTGTGAGCCACTGGCGCCGGCCTCTTTCAGTTTTTGAGTGGTTAATCAGAGGTAAAAGTCTCATGGGGACTTTTCTTCCTGAGTTGGCTTTGAACCCAGTCCTCAGATCTCAGCTTCTTGAGTAGCTAGGATTATAGGTGTGATCCACTGGTGTCCAGCTAGTACTACAGTTTTTTTTCTTTTCTTTTTTTGGGTCTGGTTCTGGGGCCTGAACTCTGGGCCTGGGCGCTCTCTCTCAGCTCTTCAGCTCAAGGCTAGCGCTCTACCACTTGAGCTACAGCGCCATTTCCGGCGTTTTATCTTTTTGCTTATGTGGTGCTGGGGAATCGAACCCAGGGCCTCATGCATGCAAGGCAAGCGCTCTACCACTGAGCCACCTTCCCAACCCCAGTACTAGAGTTATGAACTTGGGGTTTCATCTTTGCTTGGCTCACTTGCTCGGCTGCACTGTACCACTTGAGCCTCTAGCCCAAGTTTTTGCTAGTTATTTTGGAGTTGGAGGTCTCACATTCTTTACTGCTCACACAGGCTGGCTCCAAAACATGATCCTCCATATCCTAGACTCCTGAGGAGATAAGATTACAATGCATGAGCCACTTCTACCTAGATCAAGTGGTTTTCTAAACTGGCACCAACCATTTTTGGAGAGACAGGTGGTACAGGGATTAAATTTAGGAGCACTAGCTTGCTAGGCAGGTGCTTTATCTCTTGAGCAACACTCTCAATCCTTTTGCTCTTTTAATTTATTTTTTAGATAAGATCTCATACTTTTGCCTAAGCAAGCCCCTAAGCTTGCTATCCTATGTTACCATAACTGTTTGATACCAGCTTTTGTTGTTTTGCCAGTTATGGGGCTTGAACTCTGGGCCTGGGCACTGTCCCTGAGCTCCTTTTATTGCTCAAGGCTAGTGCTCTACCATTTGAGCCACAGCACCACTTCCAGCTTTTTCTGTGATTAATTGGAGACAAGAGTCTCACAGGCTTTCTTGCTTGTTCTGGTTTTGAACCACAATTCTCAGATCTTGGCCTCCTGAGTAGCTCAAATTACAGGCATGAGCCAACAGCACCTGGCTAGCTTTTTATGGGGGAGGGGGATTGGGGTTGAGGGAAGGGGCAGTACTAGGGATTGAACTCAGGATCTTACAGTTAACTAGGCAAGCACTGTACCACTTGAACCAAAGCTCCAGATCTTTTTTCCATTAGTTATTTTTGAGCTAGTTCACATTTCATGTCCAAGCTAACCTGGAATGTGATCCTCCTACCTATGCTTCCCCCATAGCTGGGGGGCTTGAGTCAATGCATTCAGTTGATACCAGTTATTCTTATTAAGCAGACTACAAGACACTTGAAATCAGGGACCCATACTCTTCCCTCAAGCACAGTCAGGAACTGTTCTAGCTCTGAGCTATTCCAAAACACATGCTGTATTTTAACTGCTGGCATTTCCAAATCCAGGTGATATCCAGGAACTATATGATACCACCTTGGCTGTAGGACATGCAGCAGCTTTCTCAGATGATTGCGACTTTCCACCTGCTCAGGACATCAACAAACTCGTGGGGCTGCAGGTGGGCACAATGTCTCTTATCCTTTAGTCCCGACTCTTCCCCTTCTATGCATCTCAACATGAATGGAATTCATTTTGCAACTCACAATCCCTGAGAGCCAGCAGGAACTGCAAGGTAGGGAAAGGGATGACTGGCCTTTCCACTTACTCTTTGACTTCTAGCATTCTAACCTGTTCAGGCCCGGGCTTTAACTCTGAAAAATCCCACTTTCCTATTCTAAACCATGGCACTGACATTGGCTATTCTGTTGTGTCTTTTAGTCTTATAGTTATTTTTTACATTTTTATTATTAGTTTATTTTATTGTCATTATAGAGGTGATATACAGAGGAATTATAGTTAAATGAGTCAGGTAATTGACTAAATTTTCTTTCATGCAGTGTCTTCTGTTCCCTCATTCTCTCCTAGTCTCTCCATTTCATCTCTACCTACAGGTTGTATAGTTTACTTTCATCAATGTCCAGTGAGCTCCACTGCTGCACTTTTTCACCCTTTTTCCCTTGAGTTCTGTACCTTCCCCCTAACCCTTCCGAAGATACACATTAGAATATACCATACATAAGGTAAAAAGACAAAAATCATGAAAAAAATTTATAAAATATAACTATAAATTATATATTTACATTTTATATTATATAATTTATATTTATAATTATATTATAGTCTAAGTATAATTATATAATTTTAAAAAGAAAGGAAGAAAAACAAAGGCAGTCTCTTGTTTCTGTACCTTGGAGTTTTTTTCAATATGTGTGTTATTTTATATAAATAGGAAGAGGCACTTAGGCATTGTGTCTTTGTGTTTCTCTCCTAAGAACATCCTCTTTGGGTCTCACTGTATGTGACTATCTAGAGTCCTCTATAATTTATCATATCCCAGTGTATTTTAGATCAGATTTCTACATATCAAAGAGAACATGCACCATTTATCTTTCTGAGCTTGGCGTACCTCACTTAACATGATTTGTTTTAGTTCCATGCATTTTCCTGCAAATGACATTATTTTATTTTTTTCTAATGGCTACTCACTTTTTTGGAAATTTAGACTCACTCATTTATTGTGGGGCATTTGGGATTGTTCCATATCTTGGCTATTGTGAACAATGTGGCAATGAACATGAATGTGCAGGTGTCCTTATCATATCCTGGCTCATGAAGTTCAGGGTAGATGCCCAGGAGTGGTATGGCTGGGTTGTAGGGAAGGTCCGTGTTTAGTTTTTGAGGAGCCTCCAGACTGCTGTCCAAAGTGGTTGTACTAGTTTGCATTCCCACCAACAATGTGGTAGGCCCATTATGTTTTTGCAAATGGTCAAGCTCACAGTAAATGTTCCAGAAACAACAGTTGTGAAGTGGCTCATAATCTTATTCTGTCAGAGATGGGCTTTTCTATAAAAGAGACTCAGAGAACCTTGGGTTCTATTTGCAGAGTTTTCATGATTGGTTTTTTAATCTCTCAGTAGAGGACAGTTAGATTTTGTTCAAGGGTGAGCACCTCCTTATCCAGGTAGAAATGAGGAAAGTTGAATCTATATGTAGTAAGTACTGGACTCAAAACATAGCTTTGCGATTCAAGGGACTATTAGAGTTGATGTCTGTTCAAAAAGAGATCGAGCAAACACTTTTATATGTGGCATTTAAAACACATTAAGGCCTAGGCTCTGTGGGTCAAAATCTTGAGTTACCCATCACAAATCGCCTAGCCAGTCATTCCCCTGCTCTTTTGGTCACACACAGGTGACAGTACTTCCTGTGCAGAGTTACAATGAGAACTGAATTTATAAATACACACATTATTGTGTGCAGCTAATGAAGTGATACATGTGGAATTCTTAGAGCCACACCTGGTACACAAAGTACTCCAGTATTTCTGTTGCTCTAGTTGTTATTGAGGAGAGCTTGCACTAAGTAGACATTGACAGTCTACCTGGGTGAGTGTTTACTATGTGCTCAATACTGTTTCAGGTACTAGTGATACAGTAAACAAAACTTAGTTCCTCCCTTTGTATGGTTTATGTTCAAGTTTGAGGAGACAGAAAGTAAGCAAGTAAAATATCTAACAGAATCAGGATGGAGCTGGGGCTGTATCTTAACTAGGGTGACCAGAGAAGACTCTACCAGAAGGGTGCTGTTTGAAAAGACTGAGAAAAGCACCTATGCAGATTTTTGGGAAGAAAAAACATTCCAGTTAGAGGCAATAGCAAGAGCTAAGTCTTCAGACATGAGTATGGCCAGCAATCTAGAGTATTAAAACTAGTTACTGTGTTAGAAGGATTAAAGTGGAGAGGAACAGAAGGTAGAGAGGTAATGGGTACTAAATGGTGTGGGGATAGGAGGCCATATGAGGAGCTCTGGAGGAGCAAATCCAGGGCTTCATGAACAAAGCCACCCAAGTCGTGGCTCTTACCAGGAATGAGAAGGGAAGCCACTGGCAAGACTTTGGGTTGAGTGACACGGAGGCAGTGTGGGGCTGAATGGAGGGTGAGAGTTAGGAACATGGTGACGAGAACTATGTGATTGAATGATGACCTTGGCTGCAACGGGAAGGTAGTGGTAGATACTGAGACCAGGTAGCTTCTTAGAAGAGTTACTCTTTTGCTTGGTTTCCTTTTTGGGGTGCTGGGAGTGGGACCTAAGGCCTTGTGCATACTCAGTAAGTGCTGTACCACAAATCCAAGCCCAGCTCCTGGCCTCTGGATATCTTTTGGAGCTGACACCAACATGATTTGTTGGCAGAGTTGGATGAGAAGCAAGTAGTCAAGGCTGAATTAATGAGCCTGGATTTTTTTGGCCAAAGTAGATAGAAGGATAGATGTGCCACTAATTGAGCTGGCAACTGCTGCAGGAGTTTAGAGGCCTAAGGAGAGTAAGGGCAGTGGGCCAATGGTAGGTAGAACCCTGAGGCTTGCCCCGAGACTGTCTATGGAGTCAAGAGATACAGGAACAAGTCCTGGCACTGAAATGGGAGCATTTAGCATTACAGGCTGGAAAACGAATGAGAACTAGGAGGTGGCCCCCAGAAATACACTGCACAGTGGCTTCAAGAAAGTGACTTTCTAGAAACAAACACTGCTGTGCTGTTCTTTGGCAGAACACATACATGGGGTATCTGGACTACCGGAAGAAGACCATCAAGGACCTTGGCATCAGCCCCAGTACCTGCTCTTTCAATCCTGGTGTGATTGTTGCCAATATGACTGAGTGGAAACACCAGCACATCACCAAACAGTTGGAGAAATGGATGCAAAAAAATGTGGAGTACGTGGCAGCCTCTACCACTGTTCCCAGGCTCAGGAACAGTGTGATTCTATTAATCCTCTGTGTATGGCTCAGGGCCTACAGTTTTCTCAGACATGTCTTAGAGCTCTGTTAACAAAGACATGGGGACATAATGAAAACCTTTCCTCAAATGATAGAACTCACAGTGGAGAGCCTATGAAACAAGGATTTCCTTATACATTTTTCTAATAAGTTAGTTATTTCTTCTTTGTAGATTGAGTTTTGCTTGGCACCAACAGGATTTTGCTGTTTTTTTTTTTTTTTCTCAAATTCACAATTTCCTGCCTCAGTCTCCTGAAAAGGTAGCTGGGATCACAAGCATGCACAGTCATTTTCAGCTTGTTTGTTGATGGAGGTCTTGCTAACTTTCTGCCAAGGCTGGCCTCAAACCAGATTCCTCTTGACTGTGGCCTTCTAAGTAGCTGAGATTACAGGTATAAGTCACTGTGCCTGACCTCATTATTTTAAAATTTAAAATAGAAAAATAAAAATAGCACAGCCGTCATCCAATCATTGCATCTTCTGTCAACTTTTTTCAGTACCTATCCAGTGTATATTTTATTTTATTTATTTTTATTTATTTATTTTTGTGTCAGTCATGGGGCTTGACCTCTGGGCTTGGGCGCCCAGCCCAGTGTATATTTTAATACCATCTAATCCTGAACTTATAAGGGAAGTTCTGAAAAAATACAGGATCAGAATTTGTTCTTCTATGTCTACCATAAAAAAAAGCCCAAGAGTTAAAAATAACAAAATAGCCAGGCGGTGAGCACCGGTGGTGGCTCATACCTGTAATCCTAGCTACTCAGGAGGCTGAGATCTGAGGATAGTGGTTCAAAGCCAGCCTGGGCAGGAAAGTCTGTGAGACTCTAATCTCCAATAAACCACTAGAAAACCGGAAGTGGCACTTGTGGCTCAAGCGGTAGAGCGCTCGCATTGAGCTGAAGAGCACAGGGACAGCACCCAAGCCCAGAGTTCAAGCCCCATGACAGACTTAAAAAAAAATAAAATAAAATAAAAATATATATATATATTAGCCTTGTGAATTTAGGTAAGGTATATGAGAGTTGATGGTATTCTTACAATTTTTTGGAGATTAGACAATCTTAAAAATTAAAAGCTGGGGCTGCACTGGTGGTTCACACCTATAATCCTAGATACTCAGGAGGCTGAGATTTGAGGATCTGATTCAAAATCGGCCTGGGAAAACTGGAAATGGCACTGTGGCTCAAGTGGTAGTGGGCTGGCCTTGAGCTGAATTTCTCAGGGATAGCTCCCAGGCCCAGAGTTTAAGCCTCACAACCGGAAAAAAAAAAATCATCAGCCTGGGCAGGAAAGTTTGTGAGACTCTTATCTTCAATTAACTGCCAGCAAACTGGAAGTGGCACTGTGGCTCAAACTGGTAGAGCGCTGGCCTTGAGCAAAAAAAACCTCAGGGACAGCGCCCAGGACCCATGACCAATCAATCAATCAATCAATCAATATAAAAACAATAAAACAGGGAAAAATGAAAGGCTGTTGAGTCCTACTGTACAGTGAAAAATGTCTTGCCTCTTTTCTAGAGGGCTGTATTAGAGCTTGTTTTATCTGAGTTGGTGGCAGTCAGCTCTAGGCCTCATTTTGCTTTCCCTCCCATTTTTTAGGGAAAATCTCTACAGCAGCTCCCTGGGAGGAGGGGTGGCCACCTCACCCATGCTCATCGTATTCCATGGGAAACACTCCACCATCAACCCTCTGTGGCACATTCGGCACCTGGGTAAGTGTTAGAAAAGTCATTCAGTGTACCTTATCTGACTCCTCACTTGGAGTGGGCCAGGCCTGGTGGTTCATGCCTATAATCATAGCCACTTAGGAGACTGAGACCTGAAGATTATAGTTTGAAGCTAGCTTGGGCAGACAAATACCCTACTCTTATCTCCAAATAACCAGCAATAAGCTAAAACTAGAGGTATGGCTCAAGTGGTAGAGCACTAGCACTGAACAAAAAAACTGGAGTGCAAGGCCCTGAGTTCAAGCCCCAGTAACAGCACAAAACCAAACAAAGCTGGGGTGGCCCTTAAGCTCACTGTGCAAATGTAGCTAACATTTGTTAGCTATCTGAGAGGTGTGTTTATAGGAATCCATGAAAAGGGCTTAGCAAATAGTAGCTGCTTGACAAACTATTATTGAAGTATAACTGTCCAGGCCTGTTTGCATGCCTGCCATCTTGCAATGGACAAACCAAATGAAGTAGCATAGAATCCTGACAACTTTAACAATTGGCATTGCTTTTGAAAAGAAGCTGCTTGACTTTATCCTGTGTGAGTCTGTAAGTCTTTATTTGTGGTAGGAATGCAAACTCTAGCGGTGGAGAGCTTGTGTGATGCTCAGCTTCGTGCATACAACCTTGAGCAGGCAATTCAATTCCTCTTAGTTTCCTCCTTCAGAAGCTGAAGCTAATGGCATCTGATGATATTATAAGAAATCCACTACACAACACATGTAACTTGCTTGGAAGAGCGCTCAGCATAGGAAGCTTATTCATATTCACCCTAACACAGGACCACAAGGCTATAGACAAAACCATGGGCCAGACCTGTTTAGAACTTTAGAAAATCTGGGCCTTAGAAAGATAACATGATGCCTCATAGGACATAAATTTTAGTGCCAGGGAGTTAAGGCCTTTGGTTTCAGACTCTCAAGAGCTGTTGTAGAACTGAAGATAATAGACATAGACTACATTTACTAGGTGCTGTTACGTTTCCAAGAACTGGGCTAGGTTCTGATGAGAAGAGTGAATATCATTTCTGATTCTCACCATCCTGCAAAGTGTTCTGTCTTGTGTTGCTAAGCAGGCACTCTATCACATAAGCCATAGCCTCAGACCCTTTATTATTTTCAAAAGAAGGGATAGATAACAACTGGAAAGTACATTGCTGTTTTCTCTATTGATTCCATGCATCATTACATTCTGAGCATAAGCATGCACCTAAGAATCAGGCAGAAAACACAGGGCCACTGCGTCCTAACTGACGTGATTTGTAATTATTTCTATGTGCAGAAAATCTCAGTGAAGTTGGAGATCTGTATCATTTGTTGTGCACTACTTAGGTCAATAAGGTTAAACATTTTATGGTCCTGGAAGAGAGATCAAGTAGGAAGGAACACCATCTTCCTTTTTTTTTTTTGGCGGGGGGGGAGGTCCGGTCGTGGGGCCTGAACTCTGGGCCTGGGCACTGTCCCTCAGCTCTTCAGCTCAAGGCTAGTGCTTTACCACTTGAGCCACAGCGCCACTTCCGGCTTTTTTCTTATGTGGTGCTGAGGAATTGAACCCAGAGCCTCATGTATGCAAGACAAGCACTCTACCACTGACCACCTTCCCAGCCCAGGAACACTATCTTCCTAGGGAAAAGAAGTTCTTTTTTTTTTTTTTCCATAAGCCTTTGGAATCAGGTATGGCCTTTGAAGTCCATGTCTACAGATACTTTGAAAAATTAGCTCACTCTAGGTAGCTATGGGCACAGAAACAGTGTTAATACTAGAAGGTAATAGATTTGAGTATAAACAGGTAGGGTAAGATTTCTTACATTTGTAAAACATTTGATTTGTGAATGCCCTAGGTTCAAAAATCCCTAGTGCCTAAAAAATAAGTAAATCAAATTTATTTGTTGTTGTTTTTTTTGTTTTTTTTGGGGTCCGGTCATGGGGCCTGAACTCTGGGCCTGGGTGCTATCCCTCAGCTCTTCAGCTCAAGGCTAGCACTTCTACCACTTGAGCCACAGCACCACTTCCGGCTTTTTTCTTTTTGCTTATGTGGTGCTGAGGAATCAAACCCAGGGCCTCAGGAATGCAAGGCAAGCGCTCTACCACTGAGCCACCTTCCCAGTCCAGTAAATCAAATTTATAAAGATACTTAAAAGTCAAACATGCCCCTGTGATACAGTTCCAGTCTCCACTCATGGAACTGAGAGTTCTTACTTAATAAAGACTTTCTACATGCAGAGATTTCTTCCCAAATGTGTTGATTACTTTGTGTCTATTCTTTGGAAGCTGGTCATTATTCTAGTTGTGCTACTTTATCTCAGAATAACTAGTTCCTCTTCTGCATCTGCCGTAAATCCTATGCTTATGGACAACAAATACCACTTTTGCTGTTAACATTATAAATCAGAGTAGCATAGCCCTAGCTAATCCTCTTCTAAAGAGAAGGTGGATTTTCAGTTATTTTAAAAATACATATCAAAGCCAAACCCATAAACAGTAGATGAGAAAAAAAATAAAGATTAGAGCAGAAATCAATGAAGTGGAGACTGAGAAACCTATACAAACTATCAAAACAAAAAGTTGGTTGAAAATAAACAAAATTGATAAAGCTGACTAAAAGAAATCACCCAAATAGGGATTAAAAAAGGGCATATGATAAATAAAGCTGACTAAAAGAAGTCACCCAAATAGGGATAAAAAGAGCATATGATAACAAATACAAGTGAAACCCAGAACATTGTAAGGGAGTACTTTACAATTAGAAAATAAATGGAAAATGTAGTAGAAATTGATATATTCCTAGGTAACAGCAACCTATCAAAACTGAGCCAGGAGGATATAAACAGATCTATAACAAGCAATGAGACTGAAACAGCAATAATATCCAAAACCAGAAAAGTCCAGAACTCAAAAGATTCTCATTCTAGAAAGGCTTTACAGAACTAACACCAATACTAATTAAGCTTTTCCACAAAATAGAAATGGTAAAATCACTACCACACTTCCTCTACAAAGCCAGTATTAAACCCATTCTCAAACCAGTCAGCAACACAAAAAGAGATATAGTCCAATCTCTTTGATGAACATAGATGCAAAACTCCTCAATAAAATACTTGCTAGCTAAATTCCACAACTAATAAAAAAATTGTACACCATGATTAAGTTTATTTCGTCCCAGGTATGAACAGCTGGTTCAAAACATGTAAATCAGTAAGCATAACACAACATATAATCAAGGACAAGAACCACAGGACAATTTCAATCGATACAGAAAAAAGCTCTTGGAAAACTCCAGTATCCTATTATGATAAAAGCTAGGAATAGAAGGACTTGTACTTAACATAATAAAGGCTATAGATAAAAAAAATTAAATATTAAAAAAATTCAGGAAAAGACAGGGATGTCTATTCTCTGCACTCTTAATTCAATTCAGTAGGATACCAAATACTTATTTGGAAACACAATTTAGCAGGATACCAAAAATTTATTTGGAAATATAAAAGGTCCCAAATAGCCAATAGAGTCTTCAGCACAAATATCAAAGACAGAAATATCACAACTCCAGACTTTGAAGTATACTACAGTGCCATAGTAACAAAAACAGTTTGGCTCTGGCACAAAAACAGAACTGAAGACTAAGGGGACAGACTAGAAGACCCAGAAATGAATTCACACACCTACAGCTGTATGAATTTGACAAAGGTGCCAAAAGTCTATGTTGAAAAAAGATAACCTCTTCAATAAATGGTCTAGGAAAATGAAACATCCACATGCAAGACTGAAACTGGATCCCTGTCACTAATAATCAACTCAGAGTGGATCAAAGACCTCAAGCATAAGACCTGAAACCTTGGAACCACCATAAGGAGGAGTAGCGATGTTTTTTTCTAGCACTTATTGGCATAGGCAAGAACTTTAGTAGAACTACAGGGGCTCAACAAATAATTTGGCAAATGAGATTCCATCAAACTAAAAAGCTCCCACAGTGAAGGATATGATCACTAAGCTAAAAAGATAGCCTACCAAAAGGGAAAATTTTTGCCAACTATAAATCTAACAAGGGTCAAATTATTGAAAATATCCAAAGAACACAAAAAACTAAAACTCCCAAAGAATCAAGAACCCAGTAACAAATGGGCAAAAGAGCTAAACAGAAACTTCTTAGAAGTACAAATGGCCAGGGCTGGGAAGGTGGCTCAGTGGTAGAGTGCTTGCCTTGCATGCCTGAGGCCCTGGGTTTGATTCCTCAGCACCACATAAGCAAAAAGAAAAAAGCTGGAAGTGGTGCTGTGGCTCAGCAGTAGAGTGCTAGCCTTGAGCTGAAGAACTGAAGGACAGCACCCAGGCCCAGACCTGAACGGTCCCACAACTGACCCCCCCCCAAAAAAAAAAAAAACAACTGGAATTTTATTCATCTACCAGAAGTAGTCATTTGCAAAAAAATTGGATTAACCAGGAAAAAAAAAAAAGTCCTATCAAAGGGTATGTTTTCTCTCACATGAAAACATGGAGATGTATATATATATATATATATATATATATACACGTGACCAGACTGACTTAAGTATGGTATATGCAGGGGTAGGTTTCTGTATTATAACCTCTTAGAATAATGAATAGTTGGGCTGGGAAGGTGGCTCAGTGGTAGAGTGCTTGCTTTGCATGCATGAGGCCCTGTGTTTGATTCCTCGGCACCACATAAGCAGAAAAGCTAGAAGTGGTGCTGTGGCTCAAGTGGTAGAGCACTAGTTTAACAGATGAGTACCAGGAAGCTGAAACATGTCTTACTACCTTTGACAGAAACTTTAACATCAGAGGTCAGTCCTGGGGTTGAACTCAGGGCCTGAATGCTATCCCTGAGCTTTTTTGCTGAAGGCTAGCATTCTACCACTGGAGCCACAGCTTCACTTCCAGCTTTTTGGTGGATAATCAGTCTCGTCTCTTGGAATTTCCTGCCTGGTCTGGCTTCAAACTGTGATCCTCAGATTTTAGCCTCCTGAGTAGTAACAATTACCAGCATGTACCACTGGTGCCCAGCTACACAGAGGATATTAGTATTTACATGATCTAATATGCTTCAGTAAGTACTTAAAAATTATTGAGCAATGACAATATTGTTTTCATTGAGTATTTTTAGCTTTACCTATACCATAAACTTGTCAAGAATTTTAATATAAAAATGGTGTTCTCTAATAATCCCATTATTTTCCTCTGTACACATGAAGGCTGGAATCCCGATGCCAGATATTCAGAGCACTTTCTGCAGGAAGCTAAGTTACTCCACTGGAATGGAAGACATAAGCCATGGGACTTTCTTAGTGTCCACAACAACTTATGGGAAAGCTGGTTTGTTCCTGATCCTTCAGGAATATTTAAACTCCATCACAATAGCTGATATAGCCCAGCATTTAAAATATTCCCGGTATAAAAATGTAGAATTTTTGTAGTCTACTACATTGCTTCTTATGAACAGTACCTTTGATATCTGTGACCCACAATGTAAGAAACAAAACTGTGTAAATTGTACCTTAAACCATGTTGGGATTCATTTACTACCTGAAGCACAAGTGATAGTCATGGCTATGTGTGTGTGAGACAGAGCCTAACCTAGTTAGGCTGGCCTTGAACTTGAGATCTTCCTGCCTTAGTCTCTGAATGCTGAGATTTAGGGTGGGCAGGGGTGTGTGTACCCCCTGTACTCAGCACAACTGGAAACTATGAAAATCAAGATTATAGAAATAAATCCATCTAGATACCAGTAACTAATTTGCTTATTAATACTAATGACAATTATACCCACAAGTTTTTTAAAAAGCTTCTAAAATATTTTTATATATGCAGGTACTTCTTAGTAAATTGCCAACTTTATGGGTTTTTTTAACTATGAAATAAAAACATGGACGCCTGTAAAAATAAAATAGATTTTTAATGATGTTCGTCATGTACATTATTCTGTATGTTAAATATAGCAAGTTAACTGATCTCAGATTTAAAAGAGAAACAGTTCATTAAGTCTTACTATAAAGAAGCCTGAGGATTGGAGACATGGCTCAGTTGGTAGAGCACCAACCAATAAGCAAAGTGCCAGATACCAAGTTCGAGTCCCAGTCTTAGTCCCAAAAGAAACACCTAACACCTGTACCTGAGCTAGTGGGGTTCAAGTGGCAGAGCACCTGCCTAGCAAGCTTGAGGCCTTGAGTTCAAATCCTAGTGTCCCTTGCAAAAAAAAAAAAAAAAAGGAAGAGGAAAGATTAAACAAAACCCAAACAAACCAAACAAATATCAGACTTGCAAATGAACTAAATAATCTTTCCATATTAATGAAAGAAATCTCATACTGCTATGTATAGGATATATCAACATTTATTATTCATTTGTCATGTTTGATGAAAAGCATCATGATTGTATGCTTGGAAAATCTTCACACCCATTTTCCAGGGAGTGTTATCATAATTTAAAGGGTATTTTCTCCAGTCTAATAAGGGAACCCATTGTAAAGCTACAATAGTTATATTCTAAAGCAATACCTAATTACATGCTTTCCATAGTCCCATGAAAAAATAATTGCTCCTAATCCCTGATGCAAGGCACTTCAAAGCACTTGCACAAAATGTCCGTGTAAACAGCAATACAGTGCACCATTTAAATAACATGAATGTCCTGTACACAGCTTGACCTAGGCTTAAGGGAAAATAAAATCCATTATCACAACAGCTAAAAGACCTGTTAAGGTTCACAACAATTAAGTCTCTCATTATAAATATAAGAACAGGCTCTAGAACCTTCTGCAGATGACATAAAAACCTCACATACATTTCATTCTGCCAAACCAACATGCTCTCTGGGTATACATTGGTATATAGTCTGACTGTTCCAAGAGTGACTAGGAGTGGCTGTACATGGTAATTTCTGTAAGCCCAGATTTAATATCCGCCAGGCCAAAGGTCTGGACCATTTGTAGCACCACAGAAAATGCTTTAGAAAATCATAAAGGTACAGAATTCAAACCAACCTTTCCTTAAGGTTCATTTAGCAAGGATACACAGAAAGTGTTTTTAGTTGTTTCACCTAACAAGAAAAACTACCTTATTTTAGTACATGTCATGTACACAGAGCACCAGTTTAAATAAGATTACGGAACACTTCCAGTATCTTGTTGCTCAGGCTATAAGTTCACTGCTTACCACTGTCCATGTCACCACCTTCCATAGCCTCCTTAAAGCCAAGGAGGGTAAAATCAGAAAGGTGATAAACACTGACAGTACTTCCCTATCAAATTTATGCCTTTCAAGTAAAGTACTAGTGACACTGGAGCCTCCCAGCACAGCAGCTGTCTGTGCCTTTGGGAGGCACAGCGGAGGAGGCCACGGACAGGGCTCAGTGTCCTGTAAGTTAAGGCCGCTCAGCCTTGCCACCTCAAGGCCACATGCTGTGTTTCTGCTACTTAGCAATCTCACTCTTTCCTGTACTCGGAAAGCAAAGAGGTCTGAGTGTGACTATAACCAGGGAGCCTGAGTTTACCCTCAGTCCCCAAACCTACAACAGAGATGCCACTGTAAGCTTCCTGTGTGGAGACCTACATTTGCCTCCTTCCCAGCAGTGCTGCTTAATGTTAGTCTGGGCTCCTTAGGCAGTCAAAGGGAAAATGACATATCTAGGGCTTTGCACAGTTAATAATAACCTATAAATATTCAGACGGTTGCATTTACAGATCAAAATGACTCCCAAAGGAAAATCAAGTTTCTTCATAAAATGGATTATATATATATATATATATATATATTAAAAAAAACCTGGAATGGCGGTTAATTCAAATACAAAAACTCATATACAAAACCCCACCCTTTCTTCCCAAACTACTGAGGTTCACACAGTTGAATCTACCACACAACTGTTCTGTACTGTACTGTAATTACACCTCTAAAGTACTAAGAAAAGACTTCAGTTCGACAAACTGAGGTTCCGTGTCTTGAGAGCTGCAATAAAACTGCGGCATTGAGGCTGAGCTGAGAGGCTCCATCCTTAAGCACAGCTTCCTTCTTCCTGTTCCTGCATCCCACAGTGACTGCTGAAGGAAGGGATCTGCTCTGTAAATGACTGAGGCATCCACTGCCCATTGGGAATGTCAGAGAAAGTAGATTCTCCTTGTAGCTGTGACCCGTTGGCTGCTAGCAAAGAAAAAGAATGTTAGCTATGTCATTTACAAGTTTCAATCATCAAATTGGGAGATTTTTCTTGCAGTGCCATAAAGGGAAATTATTACTGTAATAATGAACAAGCTTTGGAATACAATTAGAACTATTGAATCTATTTTTAGATAAAGGACTGATAAATCCTCATTTGTTATTATAGGGGGGAAAATGCAACTAGGGCTAGTTGTCAGTCTGTTTCTTAAGAAAATGAGCTATGAAAGTCTGTGTAATCAAATTTCCTTATTAGCTACTATACAAGTACATATTACCATTTCCAATCATCATTTATTCTTTCTCTCACAGTCCCCTGCCCCTAATCCTGACAGAAGCTCTTTGAAAGGTGCACACTGGGACACATACTTAGCCCATCTGAGAAGCTGCAGGGCTCGCTGCTGGCCAGGTTTTCACTGTAGGTACCTCCATACGCGGCTTCATAGCCTGGATCGTACTTTTCTTCCTTCACCGCCATTTTCTTTGCATCCTCTGTGAGGAAGGGAAAAAAGATTTATAGCTGATTTTGTCCAACAATTTTGAAAGTAACTTCATGCACAATTCTTCAAAGTAAATATAAGCTAAGACATATTATTTAAAGCAATTTAAAAAACTTTAGCATACCTAAATTAGTTCCCCTAAGAACTGTAAAAAACCTGTTACACTAAACTCTAGGTGGCATATAATGTTTCTCAGTCCTTCATATTCTTTCTGAGAGTACCAAGATAAATGGAAAGCCCTGAGCTGAACAGTGATTTGTGCCCATAACCAAGCATTCTGCCCACAGCCTAGATTAAGCACGGATTCAAGGAGGATACAGTAACATACCTTGGGCAAGCTGTAGGTCGAATGTATACTGCACCTCCTGAACATCTGTGTTTCGTTCAATTCCTTTCAACTGATCTCTCAAGTCCTTCAGCTTAATGTAGTAATGGACTTTGTCCTGAGCTCGGGGAAACTGAGCACATCGTGCACTGGACGATGGCATCACATAGCACAGCTGGAATCATAAAACATCACAGGCTCAGAATTCTTACCATGCTGATATTAGAAGCAATACCTTAGATTGAGATATGATACATAAACACATATAAATACATGTGAAGCCAATCCAGACACGTAATAGCTCATAAGAGCTAAAACTACCAATCAAGATATGATTCATAGTTAAGCATTGCTGGCCCATGCCTATAATCATAGTTACTCAAAAGGCTAAGATCAGGCAGGAGGATTGAGGTTAGGCCAGCATAGGCAGAAAAGTTGGCTAGATTTTATCTCCAAAATAACTAGCCATAAAGGTGAGCTGCAAGTGTTGCTCAAGAGACACAGCAACAACCTAGTAAATGTGAAGCCCTGAATTCAAATCCCAGTATTGAAAAGGAAAAAAAAAAGATTCAGGGTCATTTATTTATTCTACTTCTCTGGTTACATATACCTAAGAGCTATACCTGAGCCTCTCTGGCAATTCACATACAACTTGATTTTCTGTAACATGCAGTAACCTACAGAGCTATGAACTCGTACAATTTTACAAATTGACAAAAGACGGACTGCCATTTAAAGAAATACCAATGCTACACTGAACTCATCAACCACCTATTTATAAGAAGTTAAGGCTAGGAAACAGCTAAAGCATACAGCCAGGCACTGGTGGCTCACACTTACAATCATAGCTACTCAGAAGGCTGAGATCTGAGAATCGTGGTTTAAAGCCAGCCCAGGCAGGAAAGTCCATGAGACTTATCTCCAATTAACTACAAGAAAGCCAGAAGTGGAGCTGTGGCTCAAAGTAGTAGAGTGCTAGCCTTGAGCAAAAAAAGCTCAGGTATAGCACTTAGGCCCTGAGTTTAAACCCCTTAACCGACAAAAAAGAAAAGAAAAAAAAAAAAGCAAAACTGAAGTAAACTAGTGGCTCATACCTATAATTCCAGCTACTCAGGAGGCTGAGATCTGGTGATTATATTTCAAAGCCAGCCTAGGCAGGAAAGTCCATAAGACTCTTATCTCTAACTAGCAAAAAGCCAGGAAGTAGAAGTAGGCTCAAATAGTAGAGTGCCAGCCTTTAGTGAAAAAGCTAAAGGACAGCCCTGAGGCTGAGTTTAAGCCTCAGTATTAACACAAATGTGCACACACACATACACACCCCACAAACAGATTTATCTTTTAAATACAATGCTAGTTAGCAGTATCTTAATTCATTGGTTAACTATTGATAACTAGGCATTACTGAACAGAATATAATATGGCCTTTTTACATAACATAAATTACAATGGGGTAAATATGAAAAGGGTAACTAGAAAATAATTCCTGCTTAACTGATTTAAAAATGCAACTTTAAGGACTTACAGTCTCTGTGTCTGGGATCTTATGGGGTTGAAGCCCAAATTCCAAGTTCTTAACTTTCACTCCAAAAACTTCTTTACTAAAAATTTCATAAATACCTAAAATGAAATACAAAAATGTTTACACTGCCCTTAATGTTAGCAAAGGATGAAGATAAAATTTTAAAGGAATTCTTACATTTTCCATTAAACACTGCTATTCGTGGCTGATATTTCTGTAACTTCTGTACTAGAATACGTCCTCCTTCACGAAATTCTTTACTAAATTGAATTAAAAAGTAGTAAAGAAAAAAATGTAAGAACAGTAGTATTTATAATATGCTAA